CTTCCTAATGATGGGATACGAGCCATGAGCCCTTCCACACACCCTTTCCGACTCCACAGTCCCTGCAGCAGTGGATAGACTTCGCTCACTCCAAAAGTCTAGAGAAGAAGTGCTCTCTTGTCATAACCTTGCGATGCAGTGTATGGCAGAAAGAACTCACGGACAAAAGTATCACCCTTGGAAGATTGGAGATAAGGTTTGGTTATCTGGAAAAAACCTGATCACGCAATTACCTTCACGAAAGCTCGCCCCCAAGCGATATGGCCCATTCCCAATCACCGCCGTCCTATCCCCTATCACATTCACACTCCAACTACCGCCTCAGTGGAAAGTTCATCCCACATTCCATGCTTCCGAACTATCATCCTATCATGAAACAGAGGTTCACGGGCCAAACTTCCACAACCCACCCCCTGATGTCATCGATAACGAAGAAGAGTATGAAATCGATGCAATCCTATCGCACAAAGGAACGGGTAAACAAAGATGCTATCTTTTATCATGGAAAGGATACTCGTCTGCCAGTAACGAATGGGTTCCTGAAGAAAACCTCAGTAATGCCCCCGATATCCTCGCCGCCTATAAGAAGACCCATGGGTTGTAGACTCCCCAATAATGTCCCACATCGAACGATTACGTCTTTGCATTCTCCGCATTGAAGAACTTACCGCTGCCATGAACACCGTCACTGAAGGAAACGCTCACCCCTTAACACTCTTGGATTACCAGAACGCCACCGCCGCCAACCTTGCGCAACACGCATCATCTCCCGTAACTTCGCCACCTACTTCTGACTCCACCTTAACCCTTACCGACGACTCCACCCTCACCGATTACTTCTCAGTCATTGATCAAGTCGAAACCAGCGCTTTGTTCGAATCCGCTATTACCTCCCAACAGTACGCTATTGAGATAGACCGCCTCCTCGGAGAAAGAGGAGCAATCTCTAGTGGCCTTATAATCAGAATCATTAGAGATGCTAGCCTTATCGAACACACCGCCGCCCTTCTTGATGATGAGCGTCATCAGACCATTTTTCGTCACCTTCACATATGCATTCGCAACACCGCAATCCGTCTCTTACCAGAAGAAACAAGAGACGCTATCAGAGAAGTCATTCATATCATCACTGAGCGAATTGCTCTCAACCCCGTCACACGACCACCTTCCCCCCACGTCACCATCCCCGTACCACCACCAGCTCCTGTCGCAACTACCATGGAGCATCAGGATGATAATATCCCTCCTATTGCCGTACTTGACGTACCGACTTCCCCTTCTCCTGACCCAATCGTACATACCACACGACGACTCCCGCTCAAACGTAGATCCTCCTGCCTCGCTGCTAAACGAGCCACTTCCGTCTCCCCCGCTAAAGCACCACTTAAACGATCGCGGTCACCATCCCCCCCAGACCAGTCCTCATCTGTCACAGTTGTAAAAACATCGCCGGTCGATAATGTTGTATGTTGCAACTGCCACGTCACCAGTCATCATCATAAGAACTGCCCTGCATATTACTGCAGAGTTTGCAGGGAATACGCACCAGGTCATCTGTCGGTCTTTCATAGAGACTTAAAAGGAGAAGCGGTTATTCCTTTGGTATGGACTGACGTCGGTTTCTATGATGCACTTGCTCGCTGGGAGATTGAGCAAGACACCATTGCTCACGCTGAGCAGATGGCGCAAAATACCATCACAGAAGAACAAGACGATCTTCTTCATTCCAACTACGATGCAGACCCCATCTACTGGGCTAACCAAGATATGTAAAGTTGGCGACTTCATCGCTAAACGAGGGGTAATGTTACAATAGTGGGTACCCCCTATCTCTTTTCTCTCCGTCTCTTTTTGTACTTGTGTATTACGTCATGACCGCACCTGGCTGTGCCATCATTAGACCAACATCTTTCTATATCTGTATTACAGCACGACCGCCGCATGCCATCGATAGCTGACTCATCTTTTATCTCTGACTCAGTCTCTTATCTCTGACTTGGTCCCTTATCTCTGACTCGTCTTGATGACAAATACGTACATACCCTAAGGTAGACTACACCTATATAAACCAGGTCCTGTACTTAGATAGACTTCACTTTAATCTACTAGGTCTTACCTGAACTATCCTTCGCTTAGGACCTCCAATCCTAAGTTGTCTGATAACCGATATTCAAGCCAGAGGCACTCCCTCTAACTTGTCTTACGAACCTTACATTTGTGAGGACACGATCCGGCTTCAGGTGTGCTCTTATCGAGTACCTGTTGTCGCGCCTATCCTAGTTCGCCGTAACACCCTGGGTCTCTGTTAAGAACCATATTGCTCAAGGGGGAGAGAGACTGACTCAGAGGGGCTTGGCCTCAACTTGTATGCTGTGCCCCTTACCCAAGTATGTGCCTTTCATTTCATATGAGGTCCGAGGATGGTCCAAGGAAGTCTGGAGGACTTCTGGAGGCTGGCTACTCTGCTGGAGAGTGCTAGAGGACTTCCGGAGGAGTGCAGGAAACATCCAGAGGAGCGCAGGAAACATCCAAAGGAGCGCAGGAGAGTTCCAGAGGAATGCAGGAAGTGCTCAGGAGAGTTCCCACTGCAAGGTAATACTTCTACAGGAAACAGGGTGGAAGGATAGGAGGTCCAAAGGTCTGGAGGACAGGAGGACAGGAGGATAGGAGGACAGGAGGACAGGAGGGCAGAACATCTGAAGGTATGGAGGGTGGAATGTCTGAAGGTACGGAGGGTGGAACATCTGAAGGTATGGAGGGTGGAATGTCTGAAGGACAGGATGCCCAGAGGTACAAGGGACAGGAGGTCTGGAGGTCCAGAAGGAATAGGGGCTACATCGGACAAAGTCCGATGTAGAAACAAACAGAGGTAGACTACCCTAAGGTAGAGTTGGAGAGACAGGGATTGGACCTAAGTCCAGAAAGAGGGAAAGGTGGAACTCTGGCCTAGGGAATCAATCCCTAGGCCCGATGGTAGGACAGACTTAGGTGGACCAAAGTCCAAGAGAGGATTGGGCAAGTCTAAGTTGATATTCAAACTAAGGAACTACAGGAGTATCTACAGGGGTTATATACTGAACAATATCTGAGGGGATCAGTAAGCAAAGGAGCAAGGCTATGTACAAGCATGTGGAAACACATTAGTAAGTAAGTTGGAACATAAGTAAATGAACTCGGAGATGAGGACTCGTACAAGGATCAATAAGCAAGACGGAACAAGAGGTAACCAAAAGCCAGAAGGCAGAGAATGCCTAAATGGGGATAGGTGCAGGATATTGGACAGAGGGTGGGAATAGGTCCGGAGTTAATATCTGGAGGTCCGGAGATCTGGGGATCCAGAAGACAAGGTGGATACAGGACCAGAATACGAGAAGGTGGATATAGTCCAGAACCTGAGACGAGGTGAAGTCCAGATATCTTGCTGGATGGAGTGCGCATAGGGTGGACAGGATAGGGTTGTACAGATCAGGCTAGCAGTGAGGATCCGGAGGTCTGGAGCTCAGGAGTAAATCCAGAGCATAGTCAATCCTGCTGAGGTGTGGAGTACACAGCGGAAGGAGATCTGGGAATGAGTCAGATATGGGGTCTGGACATAGGCTCAGAAGGCGTGGGAATACTATGGAATGTGAGTCCGGATTGTGGGATATGACAGTCTCCAGCCAGTGTCGTCCTGACTGGATCTCCAGCCGGTCTCGCCCTGTCATGGTCTCCAGCCAGTCTCATTCTGCCTTGGCCTGCAGCCAGTCTTGTTCTGCCTTGTTCTGCAGCCAGCCTTGTCCCACCTGAGTCTGCAGCCAGCCTTGTCCCACCTAAGTCTGCACCCAGTCTCATCCTCCCAGGGTCCACAGCCAATCTTGTCCTCCCTGGGTCTGCAGCCAGTCTCATACTCCCTTGGTCTGCAGCCAATCTCATCCTCCCTGGGTCTGCAGCCAGGCCCACCTGTCCACAGTCTCTAGGAAAGATCGTACATCTGACTTGTGATCACCCCAAAGCCACAGCATGCTGATAAGAACAGACAGTGAGTCTGGTGGCTGAACGAGGAAGGCTAATGAGTCTTTTAATCTATAAGGGTCCTTGGCTTGCATGGCTTGGCTCTGCTTCTTCAGTTCTAAGAGCTTATCCAAGAGAGCTGTACTTTCTTGAACCTCTTTCATCATCAAACAAAGAGAGGAATCAGCAAGCAGGGAATAAGCTGGCGATGTATTATGTGTGTAAGGGAGGCTGCAGTTTGAGGGGTCACAAACATAGTCGCAAATGGATGAGTGATAAATATTCACAAGGAGTGTGTTGTCAGTAGGAATATCTATGACAGACTGTAACTGTATCAGTGTTATCTCAACATCATAGCCCTGACCAGGGCCAAGCAGTTTTGAGATTTGTGATAGTGGTAGAGGATCTGCAAGTGCAGTGACAATGGACAAGTGCAGGTATGCCCACTTTGGGTTGGCACACATGGAGAGGATACAGTCATATAACTTGTACATGTCTGTTCCCACTAGCAGCTTGCTCACCAGCTCGAGCATCAGCTGTAACCAATTGTGGGGATCCTTATATTCATCATCAATAATAAACTTCACCATTGTAGACACCACAATGAAACATCTGCCAGCACAGCTTGCTAGCTGTGCAAGTTGATCCCCTGATGGCCACAGGAAATCAGGATGGCGACTTCTCAGCTCTCTGAAGGAATGCTGCAGGAAAATATAAATGTCATTGTCAACATCGGCGCCATCTAGTGACAAGATGGTCCCAATGCCCTCTCCAGAAGTTTTCACTGGTACTTCACACACCAATGAGTGCACCACATCATTCTGAAAGACTTTACTAATATGCAATTCTGAGCAACTTGTGAGCAGAATGTGGGTCATGGGAAGATCAGGGTTGCGAAGAGCCTGTGCAAGGGAAATGATGAGATCAACAAGCTCAGGTTTGGATGTGCATTCATCAAGCACATCAATAACAAACATCAAAGGCACACACTCACACAGTCTGTATCAAAGTCACCAAAGAGGTTGGAGAAAGAGAGCCTCCATCTGGTCACAGAGAGGTGCATCAGGGTCTAGTAGAGCAGGATTGTCACAGATGACTCTGTTCACATCCTTTTGAATGTTCAGGAAATTGTTGGCAAGCTGGTAGACAAGTGTTGCAAAAAAATATCCAGTTGTGCAGTGTTTGGTGTGCTTTTGCAAGAAAAAGAATGTTCCTGCTAGTCACTTTTCGACATTCATCTGCTCTGTCACTTTTAAACCTCTCATTTTTTCAGCTACTGTGAATGCGATGGCAGACTTTCCAACTCCAGCCATACCATGCAGCCAAATGAGTTGGTTCTTCTCAGGATCATCCAGTAATTCATGGATGTATTTGAGGAGATCAATCCGAGTCCCTTCCAAACATTTCAGGTGGGGCTGACATTCATGGGAGTTATATTGAGCACCCTTGACAGCCACTTGGGACAACCTGGCCCATGTTCCTTCAAATGATGGAAGGTCTGTCAATGAGGTCAGAGGGTGAGAGAGGGATAAGAGATATACATGATACTGACACTGATCGTCACTCATTAACGAAGGCTGTGATATGAGTGTGATGGAATTGACTAATTGAAAGTACTAGTTGGGTTCAAACTTAGTGCAGTTAGAAATGATAGTCATCTCCAAGTCAAGGGATGACATATGAATATTTAAATCACTGCTCATAAGTTGAGACAAGACTTTGGCTGTGAAACGATCCAGCTATCGAGTGATGAAGAGTGTGGACCTTGATTGATATGAGATCAATAAGTAAATACTTCAATCTATGGAAGACTCGCGAGATGGTAGTGGAATGCAGTTGAAGGACAAGTGGGCGCCTGTCTGGTTGCAGGACCTGCTGTACATGCCAGCACATTGGTGTCAGACCCGACTAGAGCCTAAGACACCTCAAGCACACTTGGCTCACAGGCAACTCTATGTATTAGGGCTGAGGAAGCACGGAAAACAGTACTGTAGAACGTTAGTAAAGGACCTATTATTCATCGTGCAATCGCATGTCACCCCCTAAACTCAACAACACGGCCTCAAGTTGGTGAAACAGGCAAATTAACTCGGCAATTGTAAGAGTTGTGTCCTGAGTTGATGACAATATTGACAGAACCTGGATGCACGCCGAGTCTGGAAGAACCCAAGTTGATGCCATATTCGCATCATTCCTATGATAACTGTAATCAAAAGTACTTTGTGACCTACACTGACTAATAACTCTGCTGTGGACTACCAAGCGACGCCGTGACCTTGCGGTCACAAGCAAGAGCACAGTATACGACATAGAAGAAACAATAAGTCCGCTGTGGACTACCGAGTAACAGTGTTGGTCTCACAATGCACACAATGCATCTCCACGACGCCACACGATGGATATTGTTTATAAGGTGAGTATTAAAGGGCTCCTGCAAACCAACTTTACATTAGTTACTCCCCCACCATGGAGCCTGTTGCTCAACTTTCATTTCCGTTTGGTGACCTTCCAGTCGAGCTAGCCCTCCTCATCCTTGGACATGCCGCACAACCCAGTTTTTCCCAAACTGAACAATACAAATCTAAAAACCCATATTCATTCGCCCTCGCTCTCTGTCTTGTATCTAAAGAAGTCAGGAAAACGGTGCTGCCCGAAATTCTTCACACCGTGTTACTCCCGCAATTACGCAATGTGACAGCGTTCGTGGACACTCTACGCATGCAGCAAGCATATGATCAACAAGACCATCGATTCAAATTCGACTACACGAAGTACGTACGCAGGATGTGGATGGGACAGTTTCGTGGCTCTCTCCCAGGACTTTTGCTCGATGGATTTGGACCAATGCAGCCTGGGCTAGACCTCAGCCCCCTTGCCCCCGTCCTGCTTGCTGCACCATGTATTGCAGTCGACTTTGAGAATCTGGGCCTTCTGTCAGGCTGCCTTTTCCATGCCTGGAAATCCCGTGTGGACAACCACGAAGGTTCTCTGGCTCTGTACGGCCCAAAAACATTGATGGTAACTGGTTCTGAGTCCATGACTCGCCAACGGTGGTCCTTCACCAAGACCGTCCATGGAACAGCTTTCCTCGCTTCGATATCTCATGTCATCTCCATCACACACACAACAATCGACAGCAATCGGCACGCGTATCGCCTCTGCCACTCCGGCAATAGATGGAAAATCTACCAGCTGCCTGAATGGATGCAGCGGGCTCCGCTAAGCAACCTCCAGACCTTTTCATTGCCCATTCCGCATAGCGCACACCGGCTTGCTGAAGGTGAGCTTAGCAGCACGGACATGAAAGTAGAACTTTCGACGTTCTCTGTTTCTAAATTGTCGACGCGCCAACGCACACTCAAGGGAGTAATGACGATTCAGCAAACAATGAGTTTTAATGGTCCTTTGGCGGTGTCCTATCCTCGACCATCATCCTCTTGTATCCTTTGTCAAGACTGGCTGAAAGCTTGGGCCTGTGGATTAGGAAGCTGACGGGTGGCATGATGACATGAGTGGTTATTCGATATATTATGCTTGCCCGCCAGCGGTTTCATACTGCCTGTACACTTCACCCATTGGAATTCAGATATGGTCAAGACTAGTTTGTTGCTTATCAACTACTTATATACAAATTCTGGATCTTTTGTAGATTAAACACGTTCTATCGCCAGTTGATTATAAGAATACTTTCCCTTTGAAATCATCATGAGTCCTCCAACTCGACGCGTTGCATTTATGACACACATCACCAGAGGAATGGAATAACGCGTGCAGGCACTTTTTGCATGTATGCGCGGTATTCTGTGGCAACAGCAGAATCCTTCATAATAAGAGCCTCCTGCAAATAGAATAAGTACTGCTGACTCGGAATACACAAGAACAAGACACTCGCCTCAATAGGCATCTTGACAGCGAAAGCGCCCGCAGCAATACCAAGACACACAAGTGGCGCATAAGACCAAAACATCACTGCAAAAAGTGCCTGCTGGATGAGCCCGAACCTAAGGAGGATGTCAACGTCAAATCCGACCGAGGTGATGCAATATGAGACCCACGTGTATAGCGGATGACGCACCAGTCCATATGGACCTGTCTGCACGACTCTAGGCTTCTCCCGTCTCTAGTGAGGAGCGGTCAACTTACACATATCCTCAACACACAAGTAGTAAAAATGGCACGCACCCCGATCGTGTGCCACTGGTTCCCAAGGTGTGTGAATGCGCGTCCCACAAACTTGAGGAGTACAAGGGTCAATGCACATGCCACTATTCTCAGCGCGACTTCAGTCTTGTGTTGAAAGTAATCATTAGGTAGGCTCATGCGCTGCATCCACGCAGGCTGCGTGAACAGGTTGCCGGTGACGCATAGAACATATGTCACGGGTGGAATGAAAAATGCGAGGCCGTGTATCGGGGTCACGGCCTTACCGATGAAGGTGGTTGGGCTTGTGCGAATGGGACCTGATTCTGCTCTAGCGATTGGGACGATCGTACGAGTGCGGGAAGATCCATATTGAAAGAACCGTAAAGTGGTTAATACTGCCAGTCCCTCCACGGCTTGTTGGGGTACTGGAATAGTGAGGCCGGCAATGTAATACATGCTGGACTTGGATATCAGACAAGTGTTTGGAGTTGTTTCCGATATCCGAGTGATGGTTTTATATCCCGTGTTCGTCCTCCACTGACTTGGCAAGTTGGAAGTATTGCCAGTGCTTTATGATGCGCTTCTGACTGGCATGGTCCTCACGGCGGTGTCAATGACCAACCGTGACATAGCGAATGACAAATGATGCATGATGAGAATGACAAACACAGTTGCTCATTTGATGGGCTGTGTTGTAGGTATCCAAGCTGATATCAAAATGGACGTGAAATACGGCCTGCACGGACTCACCAACTTGCCCTGTGTGACAATAAAACCGACCGAGTCCAGTGTCGGGATCGATGAACTCCGCTTGAAGGTTCCAACTTCGTCGTCTCCTCAGTCATCCCTACCAGTGAGCGAGACTGGAGAACCGTTCGGTAACGTCACACCACCGAAACGACGAAAACGAAAGTCAACTCCCTGCAGACGGCTATGTTTAGATCGCTCTAGCCTGATGAAGAAAGTAAGCATCGAACGGGCACACAGGATTGCAAGAGGACCACATGTTATGTGCTATGATAATATCGACATCAACGCATGAATTTTCGTTGAACAATGAGCGTCTGATTCTGGGCCAGGTCCAATCAGGAACTTTGGCTATCCTTTACGAGGTTCGAAATGTACCTGCCACTGTGCTCCTTTTCATCGAGCTGATCGCAGAGATTATTGATACTACCCATGACAGCTCTCAGGCCTGAGACCTCGTGCGAAACTGCATCTATCTGCTGCTGGCGCTCAGCAATGGTGGTCTCAATGATAGGCCGGTCTTTGAGCTCGATGACAGGGTAGTTCGTTTGGGGGGACCGGCTTGGGAATATGGGGTTCGAGGTTTAGAATCTGGGTATCACCAATGAAATAATATCTGATACACATATCTAGATAGACATACGGTCACTTGTGAACGTGCGAGCTGAAGCGAATGAATTGTTATATACAGACACGAGCACCTATAAAAAACTGGGGACTTACGATGTCTTGCAGAGCGGGAATAGTGTCCGAGACAGACAAATTTGCCTTTGAGTTGGCCGCCATTCCCTCGGTTGCCTGCACGTTGCCTGTCGACGCGGGGTGAATAGTACTGGTCGGAGGCTCCGATTTTCTCCGATTTACATCGTGGGGCTTGAAGTGCTGAGAGGCTGACTAAGCTGCTTGAACGTTCTCGGTGTTAGAGTTTTGGCATTCCACCAGCACCCTTCGTCACCGCTCAATGTTCGGATGTTATCTAGCTACCTGTCTCGATTTCCCCTTCGAACTCTCACACAGCCTTACACCACCAGGCTCTCCTTTGACGTCTCCCACCATTCAATAAAGCGTGGCTCTCCAGCTTTTACAAGTTACACTCCAATTCCTAAAAAAAAAATGCTGTGGATGACGTGGGTTTGGATACATATCATACAAACGCATATCATCCACGGTATTCTTTAAGCTATGAATGCTCTGAAAAGCTCTATTAGCGCCTAGTACGCAAAAGGCTTGGGACCGGCTTCTCACATCCTTCGCTTCCGAGCCGTAGTCGCCACAAGTTCCTGATTTTAATAGCGAGTGGCGAGTATGACAAGAAGGATCATCGTATCTGCAGATTTACGTCAAAGTTATGCCATGCTATCTGAGGTCAGATACAAATGTGAGTAGGAACGTTGAACGATGGCAAGGCCCAGACTCGGAGTCACTCGGTATTCAATAGTTACTATGGAAAGCAACACCAACCTGACCGCCTTGACGAGCTTCAGCGTTGAAATTAAAGGCGATCCAACCACATCTAAATCTAAATCAAATACTTGGAACAAGACGCACAGCGTCGGATAACGCCTCGGCACAGCAGTACCTGCAAATTGATGTACTTGAGGGGGATTATCGGAAATAACCTATAGGAAAAACGCAGGGTAATACTATATCACAAAAGACCGCGGGCATCCAGCAATAATAAATAACATAATCTTCAGATTAAATGATATATCACCAAAGGAACGGAATAACCCGTGCAGGCACCTTCTGCATATACGCACGGTATTCCGCAGCAACAGCAGGGTCTTGCATGATAAGATCCTCCTAAAAACAAAAGACAATCAACCCCTGTATACAGCACAGACTCGGACGAGATACCCACCTCGATAGGCATCTTCACAGCAAACGCGCCAGTAACAATACCCAATCCTACAAGCGGTGCATAAGACCAGGTCATCAGAGTAAAAAGCAGCCCTTGGATGAGCACGCCCCTGTCATAAGGGAGACGTCAGAACCCAATCTCCCAGCAGATGACACAAGAGACTCACGTGTACAGCGGGTGACGAACCACCGCATATTGACCCGTCTGCACGATTCTAGGCTTCTCGCGTCTCTGAAGAGGGGCAGCGAGCTTTATGTCTTGTACACGTATGAAAAAAAAGACGGCACGCACCCCGATCACGTGCCACTGATTCCCGAGGTGCATCATTGTGCGTCCAGTGAACCTGAGGAGCACAAAGGTCGCTGCGCATGCTGCGACTCTCAGCCCCACTTGATTTTCGTGTTTGAAATGGGTATTAGGAAGACTCATGCGCTGCATCCACGCAGGCTGCACGAAGCGGTTAAATGGGACGCATAGGATGTATGTCACGGGTGGGATGAAGAACGAGAGACCGTGTATTGGGGATATGATCTTGCCGATGAAAGAAGTTGGAGTGGTGCGGATGCTACCTGCTTCTGCGTTAGCGACTGGGGCGGTTGTACGTATACGGGATATGAGATACTGGAGATATCGGAAGGTGGTGAATACGGCGAGTCCTTCTACGGTTTGGGCGGATGATGGAAGAGCACTAGTGAGGCCGGCGATGTAATACATACTGGACTTGGATATCAGTTGATGAATTTGCGGTTGATTGATTCCAATTTCCGTGGTACGATGGTACATTTATAACATGTTTTGGCGCTCATGTTCTGGTATGTCAAACAGGTTAACAGGACTGGCCTCTATCACTGGTGGGGTCCTCATGACAAAGACCGTCAGACGGTGTGAATATCACTGACAAAGTCTATTTGGAGTTACCTCTGTAACAGTTGAGGCTGTGCTACGACGAGCCGATATTAATAGAAGTTGATTTGAAGGCAGTAGTCCTCGTGCCAGGAGTCATGATCACAAGGTGATGACCACCAGCTTTAACTGGTGTGGTAGAAGCGCACTATTCCAGGTATATCAGTATGATAAGAACTGACGTACAAATGCGCACGCAACCAGTGCAAGGTTCAGCAATGGAAACTCACGTAAGTACATTGCATGGACAAGCCCACTAACATGATTTATTGGCATGTTAAGATATCATTCAGGAGGTGGTCTTACGAGCTGGGTAAGTGGATACAGTCAAATATTGATCGCAGCACCTAGGATAAAAGAAGACTAGAACTGGACCCGAAACGATATTAATTGCGAGGCTTGGGTTGTTACGGTGGAACATTGCACGGAGTATATGCGGTGTGGAAGACGGGCGCTCCGCACTGGACGGCACCGCCAAGTTGATGATCAGAGGAATTTCGTTGTCTTCCAATAATGATGAAGAGACTGGAAGGCCGAGGTTTAAGCCGTAGTCGGTGACAGTCGTGGCGATAGTTCATGTACGTGAAACATTAAGGACCTGACAGCATATGTCATAAGTAGCATACAATTTTATGTCAAAGAGCATTTCAACGTTGACCTCATGAACTCACCATCGTTGTCGTTGTCGCCCTCGCCATCGTCGATGGAGTTGATGAATCCATGGAGCAAGGTTGGTGTTTTGCGTTGGCATTGAAATAGAAGCGTGATTTCTGACCTGTGTACTATCACTGCCCTGACTGAAATTTGACTACTGCCACGTTAAACTCGTCACACATCGCCGCTGGTCGTCGTTGTTATCCCTCTCAGTCGCTTTCATCTCAGACTACACTCGAATCACCGGCCACGATGCCAATTCATTTCTTCACTGAATCACAACGGGATGGTCGTGCAAGTCTAACCCGAGAACCGAAGGGAAAGGAGAGGGAATATGTTGATCACGTCGAATTTCCCTATGGTGCGTCGCAAGCTGACCCGCGAGCTCGAGCTTACATTCTGTAGATCAAGACTCTGCTGCAGTGTTGACCGGGTCCGCTAGCATCTCATCTCATGAATCATTAAGATATCCCTATTTGTATCCTGCTCAGCAACCAAAATCACCTCCAAAGCCCACATCTCCAAGAAAACCTCGCACTTCCCTCCTATTCTCTCTCGTTCGTAAAAAGACTGGTCCCAGTGGCCATGTTTCTCAATACGCGCATCCCATCGTCATGCCAGGCGTCATGGAAATATCCCGCCCATATTCCTATGTTCAAGAGGAAGAGGAGCGAGAGAGACTCAGAGATGCTGCTGCTCAGAGTATTGGTCTCGTCGACTATGCTGCCACTGAACACCAAGAGGATACTCGAGAGGACCAAGTACCGACATCTGCAACCATTGATTCACATATATCCTTACCTTCTCCCCCTATGCCTTCATCACCCATACCCTCATCAACCCCAACCCTCTTACCTCATCTCCCCCCCTTTCCTACAACCCTCGCTTCCCTCACATCACGAATCACACTCACCGGCACATTTCCCAAATTCTGTCCCTCGTCCTCTCTCCTCGTATACGCCCTCGCAAAGCAGTGGAAGACAAGGTCCATAGTCCTCACGACTGCGACCTCGGCCGCATCCCAGACAGTCACACATCTCCATCTTTTCAAATCAAATATTCCCTCATCCTCGGAGCTTCACCGCTTACCTATCACCCAAGACACTGCTATTTACGTTACAGAGCAATCCGGACCCAGTGTGAACTATACCCGAACCAACAGCCTTAGTAAACGCGACAGCAGGAGCGGAGCAAGAGGCAGCGGAGGCAAGTCAAATGGCTCAGTCGTTGCTATTGAGCAAGGCAACATTATCTGGCATTTCGAAATGCAGGATCCGAGCGAGAGACAGAAGTGGATTGGTGCCATAAAGGCAGTTGTCCTGGGTCAAAGGTGAGTTGCGTCGCGTCGCTGGGTCCTGATTTAACACCCCTCTCCAGATCCATGCGTGCAGGTATCACTGCATCACCCCACCTCAGTGGGCACGAACCCCGCGGGGACATGGATGTCATGCTCTCCATGCGACTCCAAGCATCATTATCTTCCGCCGCATCCCCTATATCACCCCCAGCTTCATCAACCCACACCTCATCATCTCCTCCACCTGTTTTGGCAGGTTCCCCTTCCCTCTCACCGCCCACATCCCCAATTAGAGCGTCTCTGTCGTTCGAAGGCATGCGTTCCCAACCGCACACACGGTCTTCGACACCCAACCTACCCGCACCCACCGAGCCCTTCACGCGCGCATCAAGTATCAGATCAACCAAGAAATCCCAAAGCCAAAGTTCCAACGCACATAGATCCAACTCAAACTCTGACTCCTCCCCAACGCCTTCCATCCACCTCCAATCCAAGCGCTCAGGCAACATCTCCCCTATCCAACTCTCCCAAACGCACTCTTCTAAATCCTCCACATCTACTACCAAGACTATCAAAGGCATGTTCACGCCTCGTTCTCGTTCGCCGTCCTTGTCTCTCAACGGACACAGTCATGAGCGCGAAAGTGAGCATGCAGAAGAGAGCTTTGGGACCGTGGGGAGTAGTTTAATGGGTATCACTAGTGGCGTGGGCATGAGCACCAAGAGGAGCAGCTCGCCGATGCGCCGTTCGGACTCCCCCGTTCCTAGCGTGGCATCGTCAGGACCCGACGAATCTAGTGTGCACCTGTCAAACGGGAGTACACACAATGGGAGTTTGTCTAATGGTGTAGGTGTGACCCCGAGTATGTGCTGCTCGAGCATCAACGGGAGCTTGTCTAATGGGACCCCGAGCACGTGCTGTGCGAGCATCAATGGTATTCCAGCTTGTGATCTCAAGATCGTCAAAGAAGATGAACGGTGGGCTCCTTCGCCGTCCACAACTCCACCTCTGTCGCACACGCTTTTCCACCCGCTTTCCCACTCACACTCACACTCGCATTCTCTCCACCCGCCCCCGTGGTACAAGAAGCAGACTTTCGTACACTCACTCACAGACGCGCTATGCCAGCAAATGGACACAAATACTACGCCTAGCATGCAGATCTCCACCGTGACCGAGGGCAGCTCAGGTACCGCAGTCACCCCACGTTCCATTACCCCCACACCCACACCCACGCCTAACCCAGCACGTCTATCCGTGCAAACAATTTCCACTACAACTTCCACTGTCGAAAGATCGGGCTCATCAGCTTCATCCTCTGCGCCTTCTCGTCGGTGGTCTCGTACCCTCCCGAAGCGGTTAACGCCCCCCAGCGGCCCGCTACCGCTGACGCCACAAGCGCCGTGCGAGTCTGAGCCGAGCGTAAGTCCTAGCAGTGCAGGTTCTGCGAATGCTAGTGCTGCTTTTTGGAAGAGGACGAGCGCGTCGAGTAGCGTGAGCAGTGCGAGTGTGAGATCGGGGAGTGTGCGGCGGACAAGTACGGTTGGGTCTTTTGGCTCAGGCATTGGTATGGGTATTGGTGGTGGTGGAAGTATTGGCGTGGGGAGTAAACGCCGCTCGATGCCTCCTCCGCGCCCTGCTCCGAGCTTTGCGCCCCCGCCTGCGCCTGAGCAACAACAACAGCCCCAATCCCAGCCCCAGAAAACGCTGTTCAGAACGTCTGTAGCTCAGCGCGCGTTGAGGCTCAGCCTGACTGCACCTCCTCGTCCACCACCTTCAGGTGTCCTTCCACCGCGTCCAGACGAACCTGCGTACGCACATCACCGCAACAGCGGAGAATTATCAATACAGACATCAATTCCTCCTCGTCCTGACAGCGCCGCTTCTGCACGGAGTATGTCTATCAAGCAGCGTCTGAGGATTCTCAGTGCTCCGTCACCTCCGTCGCCTGTCATCGCACTGCACGATACTGATACTGACAACGAACTCACACCTCACCAAATCGTGCATCCCGTGATTATTAGGCCCCTTCCTGGTAGTAGGAGCAGGAGCAGGAGCCCCATCAGCAGTCGCAGTAGCACCAATAGCACCACCAATTCCCGACCCTCAACGCCTCCCCTCCCAGGCACCCCCATAACAACGATGCAGAATCACCCAAACTTCTTGTCGATAAACACGCACACCTCGCTTCCGGCGATCCCACTACGTAATCCGCTCCGTCCGCCACAGCCGCAGCGCCTCCCGAGCGCTCCAGAGATAATGGCGTTATCGCCACCTCCGAGACGAGGGAGTACGCAGCTTATGGTGCAGTGTCTTGCTGATGGCGGGGAGGAAAGGGAGACGGTAGAGGGCGAGCTTCCTGATTTTTCGGATATTCGGGTGCATGCAGGATCGGTTGGGAGTGAATAAGACGTGTAGAATGGGGGTAATGATGATCCCTCGCATTTTTCTGTCACGAGCTTTGAACTTGACTTGCTGAACTTTTTCATTCAACCCCCTTTTGCAGTTGTCGAGTTCGTGTCTTCTTGCATTTTCTTTCTTTCGTGGTGGTGCATATCGTTAACTTAGTCCATATAAATACAAATTCAATGTACAATGTACACATACATTACATATATGCCAGCATCTCCTCGAGGCGCTGTGCTGTGTCGCGTCGTTCATCATTGAGGAATTGATGATTGGTAGCCCTTGTAGAATCGGATATTTTGGTCTTATGTTTTCATTGAAAAGACATGTCCAGCTCAAGCTTCGACTCAATTTTGACAACCCTACGGGCAAAAAAATAGCTTATGACAGGGGTGAGGCACAAAGAAAACAACATAATATTGTGTGGATTAACTATTTCATACAAGTGAGATTTTCGTATGCAGCTACATGAAAACAGCAAGTCAAGCAAAGAGTAGTAATAAATCAAGCGAAACTGTTTTCAACGTCAGCACTATCATCCCCTTGCTCGAGGTTCGCAAACGTCAAGAACGCAGCGGGCCGGTGATCCTCTGCCCAGAACAACAATGGCGTGTCTAGTGTTACAGCAAATGGCAAGTTGGCCGACCACAATTGGGTAAGACCAATCCCGTAGTTCCAGACTTTGCCTTCGGGCACGAGTGTCATCCCAAGAATACGGTCAGACAACAGGAGCTGCACCCGCTCCGACATGTTAGGGTTGAAGCCAGGTGGGTTGGCAGAATTATCCACGTTCTTGCGGCCCCACTCGAAGCCAGGCACCGTCAGCTGATGGGCGGACAGCGAGACTGAACCAGGAGTGAAGGAAGCAGCGATACAGATTGATGAAGAGCTCCACTCTGGGTGGTTAGCCATCAATTTGGCTTGGGTGGTGACGTCTGTAGGAGAGAGATGGTTGAGCTCAAGCGCTTGCGTCTTGATCCACCCGAGAGGTTCGAGATCCTTGAGGAGGAAGTCGTCCTTCGGCAACTGGTTGGGCAACTCAACGCTATTGTTGCTTCCACGCTGAGGTACCCATACAACTGCCTTGATCTCCTTGACCTGCTTGTTGTCTGGCGGCGATACACCGTACAAGAAGGCCGCAACCTGAGTGCGAAGATCTGCCGCAGTAATGAATGCCCGCAAGATATTCTTCGGCAACACATAGGTGTACGAAGCAGCGTCATCCTTGACATCATCATTGGAGACATAGATATGTTGCAGACGGAGGGGAAGATGCGTGGCAGAGATGGCACGGACACGCCAATCAGATTTGCTGCTAAACACCTGCTGTTCGTAGTTGGTCGTCGTGACGGTCTGAATCGTATCACCGTGAACGTTGGTAGTCTGAGTCTGCACAGCGGTGACTTGACCCTGCGCCTCGCTACTCTTCTCGAGCTCAGCCATCTGCTGGCGCTGTACGGAGGGAGCGGCAATCTCTTGACCAAGAATGATGTCACGAATCTCACTGGCAGTCAAGGATGCAATGTTGACGCTGTTCCGCTTGCCGAAATCCTTGAACTCGATATGAGTTAAAGTTCAAAAAGTGTGTGGTATTACTTACTGCCAAGATAAGATCCTTCATTGCGACCTCAACCTTGATCCATTCATCATCTGTAAGAGTGGGCCAGACGAAGTGTGGCTCTGTAATGGTTGACTTGTCCGGGTGCAAAATAATCTTTGCCTTCTCGTTGTTGACGTGCAAGCCACGAAGGAGGAGGATAAGACGAGAGAAGGCGGTGTAGCTGGACACCGACTTGAGCCAGTCGTCGTACAAGCTGAACAGGACCATTTGAGGTTGTGTAGCACGCTATGAGAAACAGCATCGGCAACGAAGATGCAAATACGCATGGACTAACTTACTAAGATCAAGTCACCAAACTTCTCCATCTTCATGCAAGCCTGGAAGGGCAATTGCAACTCACTTCCCTTGATAACGATATTCGGGAAATCAAGCAAGTGAACCTCGAGAGGGTCCAACATGCCCTTGCGAGTGACGATGACCTGCTTCGGCTGTTCTTCGACAGGCAGTGAACGAACTAATGCAGCCACTTCTTCGGCAGTCTTCCACTTCGCGAGTTGACCAAGACGCTTCTGACCAGCCCAGACACTGGTGTGAATGATCTTCAGGAACAACTGTCCAGAACGTGGATTGAAGATGAAGATAGCACCGTTAATCGGTTTAGTCGTCAAGTTGCCCTCGAATGTCTTGTGGATAGTAACACGATATACGTTAGTGTCGTCAACGAACCAAATGATCTGGTTCGAGAATAGTTCCGAGTAGTTCTGGCTGTTGAGGTAAGGCTCTGTAGGCTCAGAAGAGTACAACTGGAGACCCTTGCGAATACGCTCGCGCAAGACGTGGCATGCCGGGTTGGCCTTCATGATCTTGGCCATGGCCTGCTGGATCAGAGGCTTCATACCGGGGAACCAGTTGCCGTACGCAGACCACAGGTTATAGGCTAGATCCATGCCGATCATAACACCAGTTGGCGAGGGGTAGATACTCATAGAGTCAGACACGTAGTCCAAGAATTTGGCACGAGTATACCGCTCGATATCATGGGTGTCGAAGTCGCCCCAACGAAGCTGAACGTCGATCCAGTACTTGTTGCTGGTTGTGCCATCCAAAACGTCCTTGTTCTAAAGAAACCGAACGATTAGATCAGTCCAAAAAAGTATGAAAAGTGACCTACGTCTGTAACCAGCGAAGGCCGAGAGATGTTCCACTTGTAGGCCGAGAACAGCAAGATATCGGCGCAAGACGAATTCATCTTATAACTCTTACGAGGGTGAATAGTCTCCTTTTGTACTGTCTCGATCTGGAGAGGCTCTAGCTCTTGATCGAAGACCTGACACAAGTCCATGACTACACTTTCGTGAATCTTCTGCCACAAGTGCGCACGGAAGATCTGAATCAGCGAGATCTTAAGGGTGGGGATCTTGCCGTGCATGAAAATACCCGTCAGGTCAAGCTGGACCTGGAAACCGACATACACGTTGGCGCGGTTGATGGTCGGACTCCACCAAAGTGTGAACCGACGGTTAGGGATCTGGTTAAGACCTGACCTCTGAGCGTTGGTAAGCTTCTTGTATCGCATAGACTCTTCGAATCCAGACGCTTTCTCCCAGAAGAGACCCTCCCAGGTGGGGAAGTAAGTTCCTTTGAAGAGCGTGTGCTCCAAGATACCCTCAACACCACCCAGTGCAGCAATGACATCAACACGGTAGTTGTTCAGTTGCCAGAGCTTTCCGTCATGGCGCTGAGATGTCCACCAGAAGGGGTTGCTAAAATAGCCATCTCATTAGTCGACAATAAATCCAGACAGCTGGAGAGCGACTCACTGTTTGAGCAACTGGTACTGCTTCCAATCCGTACGCACACGCCAACCTCGGTCATATGCCAATGTGTGACGATCCTTTTGGAAGAGGGTGTTGATGCGAGGAATACCGCGATCCCAGCTATCTTCAAGATCTTCGAGGGTGAGGCGACGGTTCTGGGCATTGGCCTCCTTCCGCTTCATGGAGTATTCAGACCAAACACGAGCCGAATCCAAAAATTCTGCCTCCCATGGCTGAAGGTATCTGTACAAGTTCGGAATCAACTGGTCCTCCTCGTGGGTCATACCAGCACGGAAATGTGTGACTGATAAAACGAACTATTGAGCCAGATAAGGGTTATAAAACAAGAGAGAGAACGAACCTCCAACATCAGTTTGCTTGGACCATCGCAAGTCACTCTGCGGGATAAGGACGTGACCCATCGAAAGCATTCCAAGGCCACCAAGCTCCTTCGGTGTATAGAAGACGACAGGAGGGAAACGAGACGGCATCTTACTGTTCAAGCCGATCTTGACACGAGTTTGGATCTTGTTCTCTGCCTTGACAAGAGAATCTAAGAGCTCGTTTGTGTGGATGACGGCCTCACGGTAGTAGGTCATCAAACCGATCAGCGCAGTGTTCCACTTGTTGACGATCTTCGAGAAAGTGGTGGAACCGGAGCTCATGAGGACCTGACGGATACGGTTGTTGAATTGCTGGACACCATCATCAGAAACACGGAGGAACGCCTGCGCAGTTCTCTCCTTGGTCTGCTCGTTGGTGAGATTCCACACAGCGTCCTTCAACGAGAACTGCTCGCCACCCATCGTCCTAATCTTGGGCAAGATACGAACCTCGAAGCCACACATCGAGAACAACAACTGTGGGTTGTCTTTCGAGTAAACGCTGACAAAGGTGTCCTCCCACTCGATGGTGGTGAGTGAGCGCGGGAGGCTGTTCTTAACGTTCCAGAAGACCGCTCTTCCGAGATTGACATCATGTTTGATAAGACGCATACGACAATCACGAGGCCAGCAGCGCTTGTTGTTGTACCCGATGACGTTGTTGTTGGTCGGGTCAGGGTTGGCACTAAGATAGCGTTGGATCAGGTCCCTTGCCTCATCAGCGCTGAAGCGGAAGAGGATGTGCAAGCGATCAACGTAACGGGAGTATAAGCGGATGGGGTGCCGAGTCTCTGTCGCCGAGTCACGGTACTGCAAAAAGTTGTTAGGCATCTGTGGAGGACCAGCCATCTCGCTAGCTCGCTGCAAGCCAAGAATGAGGAGATCAAGGACGAGACCATAGTACTGGAAGACGAAGGCAGAGAATTGAAGGCCACGGATGAGACCGAATGCATTCGTGTGCGCCATGTCCTTGTAGGTCAGTACCGTGTTGTTCTTTGCAGTGATGTAATCTGCCAAGTTGTGATCAAGAATGAGCCGGAGAAGACGGTTCAGCAGGGTCAGGTCGATCTTCTCGTACACCTTGGAGAAGACGGTCTCCATCATCACGTTGCACTCGCCCTCACTCGTCTCCCAGATGTCTGTCAAGTTGTTAATGCCCTGGCACCACTTGTACACAAGCAACGGCGGTGGCTCCGTGTCGGCAGGTTTTATCCAGGCAGGGAACAACCCTCTTTTATCGGCCTCGAAGAACAGGAATTGATCAAGATACTGTGTAGTATCAACGTTAGCATGGCATATAACAAAGTAAATGCTGAAACTTACGGCGTCTGTAATCTTCTCAACGGGCTCAATGTCGTAGCACGGAATGAGTTTGTCGTAGGTGTCAAAGAACTCAATACCAGCCTCCTTGAATGCACGCTGGGTGAGAAGCAGTCGCTTGATGCGCGATAGACATTCGTGCGGATTGTCATACGCCTGCTCAATGAGGGCAAGCTCTTCACGCTGCGACTGGTTAAGGCGACCCTTGACCGAGTAAGCCTCCTTCAACTTTTCAAGTGCAAGTACAAGTAGCTTCGTGTCGTGCTTGTACGACAGAGGACTAGAGAGAACGGTGAGTTCACAACGTGCAAAACATATCTGGCTCACTTACGGGAATGGTATAGGAGCAAATTTGCGGCTCTCTAGCCAGTGAACAGTCGCTGTGTAAATTGCAACAGCCTCCTCCGCACTGATATACGGCCCATCCTTCAAATACCCATGCTGCCTCTCCTGCTCTGCTTTCAAGTACAGACGAGTCAGCCGACCCAGGTTTTTCTTCACTACCGCCTTATCAACCGTAGCACCCCGACGGATACGCTCCCGATTATAGTGTGCAACCGAGCACCACCAATCAGCCTTGCTCTTGATGTATCGTAGGATAATGTTCTCAATCGCAGTGGGCATTCCAGGGACTTTCCATGGGATGTTCGCTTTCCAGCAACGCCACGCCTCAGAGAGATGCTGCAGAATCGTCTTCGACTTGTTCTGTTTGATGGACTCGGGCATCATGTCGAGAATGTCATGCATGACAGCCGCACGTAACTCAAGGTCGTAGTGAGACTCGACACGTTGCTTTGTCACAGTCTTTGCGATGCCCTTGCTGTTGCGTCCCTCAAACTGGCGCGCGAGGAGGTTACCGAGCCAGCGCTCGAGTAGCGGTACAATGCCTCGCATGAAGAAAAGCCAGACACGCCAGCCAGGAGCCCAGAAGCCGTTTCCAGGACCCTTGCCGACAGGGCCAGTATTAAAGCGATAATAGATCAAGTGCTTGAGATCTTTTGTCATGCGGACTTGTCTCATGAGCTGGATGAGTAAAAATCAATAAAAGAAACTTCGACTATAACAGTAATTATGCGAACCTTGTACTTGTACCGATACATACCAGTCAGTGCCCCAATGTGTGCAAAGATATACTGCAGCGCGTCTGCGAGCTGGAAAGCATCAACATTACCAAGGCGGAACTGAACATGGGCATCAACGACAAGCTTTGTAAGACGCAGAATCTCGCGACACAAATGGAAGGCGTTTCCGAAGCGAGACTTTTTGCGTTCCTTCGTAGTAAGCGTCTTCACTGGCTTCAAGTTCATGTTATAGTCGAGATGCAAGTAGTTCAAGTTCTGAAAATGGATATTAGCTTCGATGTACCCCAGCGGTCTCTACGAAAGCCTACCTTTCTGTGAATAAGGAGGTTAAGCATGTTATACCCTTGTCTGCACACCTGCAAACCGGCTTCCACCCAGTCAAGCTTTGTCGTCTGGAAGAACTTCGTCGCCTTCAACTGCCGGAAGAGATTCTTTTTAGTCATCGCCTTCTCAGGTCGACTCTTGAGCTCGTTGAGGACGAAGCACTTGAGCAACTTCTGGTACGATACGCGAACTTTGACTGGCTGGTTGGGAGGACAGTGCTCCAAATACCAGTTCTTCACCAAAGGTATGTCCTGCGCACGACGCATGCGACCGGAGCGACGATTATAAGGCTCAGGCGCCCACCATAAAGCAATGCCATCAGCAGTGAGGTCGTTTTCGAGGGGCTTGTCTTCAAGGAATGGCTGTACATCATCGGGCAGCTCAAAGTTGTCGTCATCAGCACCGTTCGGACCGAAGATAGAGTCCTCATGAGAGACGAGCGGTGCATTCTTGGGAGTAGCGCCGCGTAGAGAAATAGGGTTGATGAGAGGGTCAAAATAGAAGGCGGGCAGGTCGGGATCATCAGTGCGAATATAAACATTCTTGGGCGCATGATACGGAGAGAGGTGAACAGAGCGCGGGAGAGAGTTATAGAGATGCGGGAAGGCAACCTTGTACTCGGTGCGGATTTGTTGACGAATGATAACTTTATTGACATCATTGAACTCATTCCAATCTTCGTCGAAAGCATCCATGTCACGGTATAATGGCTCAAATTTCGGCCCTCCAGGAATTGCCAAGTTGAGAGCTTTTGCAGTGAAGAAGGATTTCTTGTCGAAAAGATAGCTCGCGTTGCTATCAGGTTGGTCTGACAACAGGGTTCTCCCAAGACGATATAAATTCGCCATGACAGGTAGTGTGAGTTGCCAATAACGATATGAGGGACCATTGACTGCAGGTGTGTCCACTAGCGGCTTTGGGTCGTAGAACCAATCAATAATGGCAGAATCCTCCTCTGAATCGAGCTCCAGCTGAATGGCTTCAAGAGGTTCAACATCCAGTACGTTGTCACCATAATCCAGCGGTGGCTCTTCATCATCAAAAGGTGGGAATCGCATACGCTTGAAATGTCTACGATCACGCTTCTCTCGACGCATGGCTAGCCACATGGAACTCCATTGGGCATGATAAACAGGTTCGATAATGCGGGGAATTTCATTGACGAAAGTGATTGCGCCAGTGATATGATAAAGGACGGGCACCTCGCGAACCTGCTCCCAAGGGTATGGAATGTTTTCAAGCAGCTTCATTACAGCGTGAGGGACGTATTTCAAGGCGCCGAGGTGGACACGCTTATCATTGCGAAACTTGCGGTTGCTCATGTCACCGTGGTCCTTGATAATTTTACGGACGTGCTCCGGAGGCAAATCCTGCGCAATCATTATTGAATACGTGTAAAATTACATACCAATTGAACATACCTGTTTTCCCATATCAACGTATCCTCCTTTGCGCTTTTCGCCATAGCGCTTCTTCTGCATGGACACCCATTTCTGCGACTTTTGTGCAAGGACTTCGGGAGGCACCTTTGAGGTGGACGCCTGTGGAAATCCTGGCGGTGGTGGCATGCCTGGAGGTGGGGGCGGCAAACCAGGAGGAGGGCGAATGAACGAACTCATCGTCGTCGATGTTGAGGGCGACGGTGAAAGTTTGGTAGATGACTAATTACCAGTTCTGTTGATTTAAAACTCAGACCTTCGCGGGGTTCAAAATGTACTTTGTCGAGTAGATGTTTCATGACCATCATCCTTAGAGACCAAGCGGCTGAGAAGAGCTTGAAGCTTGAAGCCCAAAGCAGAGTTCCTGTCTCTTCCTGAGGGGCTTCAGTCCTACACTCTATACTTCCTTTTGTAGCAAGATATTATTCGTTTCATCCATGCCAAGTCACAATCTATTCGTCGGTGTCAATCTGAAAAGCCCGTTGCCGGTATGCTCAGGTTTTTGCCAGGCAAACGTGTCATCCTCTAGGCTCCAGTACGTCATAGAACTTGGTCAACATCTGCTCTCCGTCCCCATCTTGGATATCGTTTCTATTTCTAAGCACCTCCAACTCTTAGCTTGAGGGGTAAAGCCCACGCATAATTCAAGTTTGACTTCCACTCTTTCCAAACAGTCTCCATACTAGAACAATCTTGCATAATAGACTCAATAACCTTCGCCAATAAGCATCTTCATCTCTAGGACGATGATGGTTACTCGAGCTACCTGTCCAAGACCTTTCTAATACTGCCAAAGCCCTCACCAAGTAATCAACGTCATTCGTATCCAGGATTGCTCTGTTCAGTTCCCAGTGCATACATCCTTGGTGTGTTCATGCATCCAACACAAATTCTAATCGACATCTCGTATGCCATTGATCATGGTACTTCCAGGGGGAATATATTGTATGTTGACCTTAGAGCCCTGGATGGAAATGGTACTCACCTCGAAACCGCAGGACGGACGTGATTTCTGCCTACCGCACAGGACATCGAGTCCGCAACTGCACAGGGTTCGGGAAGGCATATCGCTCTCCTGCGCCAACTCACTAGATGATACGTATGATACTGCAGGCAGCACTACGTACAGGCTCACGTAGTGGTTTCAACTGTGGGACTAGGACTAGTGGCAGTTAGCAACGTTCAATGCAAGCCATTGACAGACATGGTCGAAGACTTGACAGTTGACATTCATTTCAAGTAAACCAATCTCAGAGACACAGTATTATCAAATGACTATAAGCCGCTCCATCTTTATTTTGTCGAAACGATAGATTGCTCATTTCCAACGATGATGCTAGCTTCTATTCAGTCGAGGATATGTCCTAGGCGCCACAATTGCTGGCATGCTACCTTTTGCCTATATCAGCGACGCACAGACAATGCCTCCAGAACGATGACATAGCGCACATCTCACAACCGCAGACGCAAGCACGACAAACGACATAGACCTCAGACCCTAAACATCAACTGTTATGCTTTGTAGCATTCCACCCATGGCTTGTCTTCGTCGTTTTTACTAAACTTTCTGCTCAGAAGGAATGGCGGTGATAATACCATGGAAATACTAGGTCCTTACAAATTCGCGTGTGTTCCGAGACTCCTGGCAAGCATGCATTGACCGGAATCAAGTTGTACACTGTTGTACAGGCATTCCCTATGACGGGTGTCATGAAGTATAAATTACATATGATGGACTTCAACCCATTAGCAGAGTCTTCGATGCTAATGAGTTGATCGAAATGTGGCTCACCAAGGATGCTTCACACAATGGATCCGGCGGCCCAGGACAACGCAGGCTTCCCAAACCAGCCCAACAAACTAAATACTATTTTTATTTATTCTGCAGTCAACATTGGATAGGGTCGGAGTCATCGAGATGTAGAGCGGCCAGTACTTTGTAAAAGAATGTCACGTTTCCGTTGGAACGGAGAGAAGGGTGAGCATTGCAGACCTACTCGAGCGATCTTCAAGGAGTGACGAGTAACTGCGATCCTCCTGGCAATGGTACTTATATCGGTGCAAGAAAATATTCCAAAGCCAACTCTGAAGACTACCTAGCGTCATAAATATGTCTAAAGCAAGAGACGTCTGAGTCTAAATATGATACGATACGTTGGGGATCTCGAACAATTGTGATGAACAGAATTTATGGTCTGTCCTTACTCCTGGGCATACGTTCAATCCAAGTAAGCGCAACCTTCCAAGCTACCGCCGTAACGTTGTTTATCCTCTACCACTGCAAACCGCAGCGATTTGGCATCTATTCGAAGCGGAGTCCACTTGAATGTGGTTCGTCAAAGTATTCCCAATGTGAAATGTCGACTCGAACCTTCCAACACGACAGTTTGACAGTATCAAAATCGCAAACACGTCTCGTTTAACGGCGTGGCTGGCCATACGCGCCGTCCATGCGTCGCCGACCTGAGTGGCATGGACTTATCTCTGTTCACAAATGATAGTTAGTGAATGTCTTTTCAAAGTAAGGACGTCTCACGCGATAGATATATTAGGCCTAGAGCCAGCATAAATGCAGTCCATTTTCACAGCCGGCAGCGAGTGATCACTCGTCCCTATTTGAAAACGTCAATGCACTATCCTCGTGGTCATACAAACACTCTACCAGCGTGACAGTACGGAATTTCGTCCTCCTTGTGACCCCACCACATCACAGGCGACCACTCATCCACGAGGTTTGCGAGTGTCTGGAGGTGGCCATATGCAGCTGGCTGGGGGCCGTGCGGTTGGCGTAATGAGACAAGAGTAAAGAAACAGGCAAATACGAATAATGCTATGCACAAGTTCCAGATCTACATAAGTGTGAGGATCTGTAGTGGTTGCAAGTACCTAGACTATGAGCGCGAACCTGGATTGTGTGCATATAGAATGCGACTCCGAGTGTCTGTGCATAGGTACCGGTTTGCGATTTGAATGCAAGCCCAAACATCCAATCTATATCGTACATAATGTCGTTCAAGAACATTGACCAAAAGCTGAGTGCGATAAACTCACGTAGCACAGGTTTCGTCACGAAAAGTATAAGACAGAGCGGATTGGCGAAAGCCGACTTCAACGGGTTCGTCGCTGACCTTAAGTCCTTTTGTTCCACTAGCGCATCTCCAATGTCTTTCATCCCGAATGACATCCACGATGAGCTCCGAGCAATGCAGCCCAAATGTCAACGGTCCCTGGAAACCTGCCACATTGGCAAGGCACAAAATCCACCATGGTCCATTCCCAGAAAGCGGCATCCCGTAGATCACCGCATTAGAAAAATGGTCACTAGGGAAGAACGACCACGATTTTGAGGTCATCTTGACGGGGTAGTTGCTTTCATACTTATCGTAGAAGTACATGGCCAGCGTAGCCCACCCAGCATATGCTGCAACGAGGCCCCAAAGAGACATGATAACTTTTCGGATGCTAGGGTGGGCATGCCACGCCGAGGGCTGTGTGTCCGACGGTTTCGCTGGACCTACGAGCACATCTAGGTCGGACACCGCACGCATGCACCGGAAAGGTACCGGGATCAATTTTGTGTGGTGGAACAGAGCAGCGGCCAAGTGGAAAGATGAGGAGCTCCATGTCAATATCTTAACAGCCCGCATGCCTAACCATGCGATCACCACCTGGAGAAAGAGTGCGATACCCAATAGCAGGAGAGGCAACCCCCAGATGCTAGAGGGATAGACAACCTGACCAGATCTCATCTCAAAGGCTGAGTCGTCAGATAACGTAACGAGCGAGGCCGAGCTGTAGGATACAATAAGGAGGATAGCCATGATGCCATTAAACAGCGCTCCGTTAGGGTTTCTCCATCCACGAGCTGCAGTCAGAAGACGCAGATTGGAGTTGAAACGGAGCCGAGATTCTGAGGCAAGTGCAGAGCGTAGTGAGATGCCATGTACGAACCCAGTGGATTCGGTGCATAAAGTGACAATTAAGCTTAGCACCAGGGCTATCATCTCTCTCTGCAGTTGGCTGCTCAGCATTACCGCCATTCCAGCCATCACGCCGTCTTCTTTGTCAGTGGCCATAATGGCAATGCCTACAATGATACAACAGCAGCTGATGACACCAGAACACACCATTCCAACAAGGGCGTATGTGCGGCTTGTCGGACTACGGTCGTAGAGTTCGGTTCCAGTCTCAGTGGTGGACGTCGTGTCAGATATGAGGAAGCCAAGGTCATCCTGGGGATTCGGCAGCGCATCACATGAAAGAAGACTTGTTGGATCCCAATAGTCACGGTGTTCTGTCGGTTTGGAAGAAGTTGTTGCCATGGGAGAGCCGAGTATTGGAGAATCAGCTCATTGACATGCAGATTAGGTATATATAGCCTTCAGCAAATGATAGCACAGCCTCATCTGAGTGCATGTAAGTCGGAGTTGGAGCATCACTCAGTGTGATGGAAGGGCGGTAACTCGAGTCTCGAGGCGGCGTTTGTGGGGATGCTATGCACCACAAAATCCTCAAGTGGCACTGGAAGGGCCTATCAGACACGTCAAGTGACACAGTAAAATCATTCTCTTTCTCAAGGACGTAGACTGGTCAGCGTGGTCATGCATGGATCAGGAGTCCACCCACAGCGCTCACGTGATTACGACTGCCCCAGGTTTACAAGGCATAAACCATTCGAACCCTCTTCTGTTTTGGAGCTGCATAGCAGAAATACGAATGAGAGCATAGCCGGAAACCAATTCTGGTCGATATCACCAAGTGAGATCTAGTGATATTCGGGCCAAGTCTGAGCTGGACACAAAATTTCAAATACCCTATTGCTCGTATGATGATGTGTCATCCAGCTCGATATAGCTCTTGCGCGGAAACGCATCGAAGAATTAGGAGTATCCTGCCGTTGCACCATGGTATGAATGTACAAAAGTCCACAAGTAATGAAACGAAGAAAGTGGATAGTCTGAAGAAGCGACAGTCAACAGATATCCAGTTCATGAGAGAAAAGCCTCACGCTCTGTTCAGCCTGATTTGCCCTTCTTGTACGTTCCGTACGGTCCCACCGTGCCCGGTGCACCACCTAGTATTTTCTTTTGTGGCTGCAGGGGCTGAAGAGGATGCTTGATTGATCCAGGACGCGGTCCGAGCAGGCGCGAGTTGTCTACTGCATAATCTGTGACATTCCATTTAGTGTCAGCCTCGATCTCATGTACCTCCATCCCCAGCATTCTCCGCAATACAGAGTTTTCTCGTTCCAACCGGGCGAGCTCACAGTCCCTCTCAAGAGACCAATCCTTTTTTTCTTCGAAATCAAACTCCTCCGCATCGCCTTGCTTTGCTTCAGGCGAAGGAGTCTCAGCAACTTCGGTATCCTCGCCATTCAGTACGCGCATGAGATGGCGAAGTGTATTTGATATCCGCCCGAGAGCCGCGGATTGGGCAGTACTAGCCGACAGTGCACGGAGAAGGCCTTCCGACTCCCTGGCAATAAGCTTGGATTCGTATTCGCGAATGAGAGCGAGTTCGTGTTCTTGGACGTCACGCTGCAGATTAATTACCGCGGGTAACACATGTACATAGGGCGGCGGATCGAGGCGAGGGAAGAAAGAGGTCATATTTTCGTTGGTTATCAATGAGCTGCCATGCCGTGAATATGTACACGTACAGCTCTTGTGCGGAATGCACTCATTACGCTTTCGAGTGTCTGCTCATACTCCCGAATGAGCGCACCGAGCTGTTTATTGTCGTGCTGCAGCGTCTGATTCTCAGCTGCGAGAGAGGTGTTCATGCGCTCTAGTTCTCCGTCGTACGCATCTGCGTTCAAGGAAAGAATCAGTCCAGTAAATATATGTCAGCAATGAGTAGGACAAACCTTGAACCTTGTCGAGATTGAACCTACGGCATGGTCAGTCCAATCTACGAATACCGCTCAACATTCATGCTCCCACCTGCGAAGGACAAATCCGGTTTGTGTATGTGCCGCTTGATTCTATGGTTCTATCAATCGAGGCTTTCTGACTTTACTCAAAGGAGGCAGAACCTTTATAGCACCAGCTGAGGCATGGAGCGAAATTGATATAGAACGGTTCTGCGTAAGCTGTTCAGAAAGTTCTTGGACACTGTTGAACAAGCGAATAAGATCATTCTCGCTGTTTCCGTCGACGATCGTCATGTCATAAAGACAAAGGAGAAGAGGGGGGTCGTATGATGCTACGAGGGGTCGCAAGTCAAGAGTACTATTAAGCTTACAGTTGCACTAATTAATTGCTACCAATCGTTAACGTTGTTTGCTAATATCAAGTAGCTTGAGCTACTAGTCACTATCATTTGCACGAATCTGCCAATCTCATCATTACAGCCCTGCAGCCGGCGCATCAGTTTATTGTATTGCCCATACCTCCAATTGATTGTCTGGCGAGTCCGCCGTCTTCTCTTGACGTACTAGGATCTAGATTGGCACATCGCTTTAAGGAAACCATATGATTCAAGAACCCTGGCCCGCTAGTATACAAGTATTACTACATGTTCACCTGAAGACGTTACTTACTTTAACGGGACCCGAAACAACTCGAAAACCAAAACACACATACATTACTATTGCCTCCGTGCCGCGCTAGTTTTCTCATTTCGGCTTCGCTCAACTTGTAAACCCGGAGTGAGTTGGTGGCTCCGCAATTGCCTAGACTCAGATTTGACCGTGTTGAAGCTTGGCAAGGTATGTGAGCTCCTTTAAGCAACGGTCAATTTCATCTTAACCGCTATATTTTCATAGGATCGGATTTCTGAATTCTGATGCCTGTCCGGGTTTCGGTAGCACAAGCCGCCTTGATTGCCACGCACCGCTTCAAGTCCCAACAGCATTTTGTACCGGCCAACCTTTCGCGGTAAGGTAGTACATATCTGAGTCAGTAGCCGCAGCTTGGGAGCTCGGTCTCTATTTTCCAAAGCAAAATCATGCAGCTGTATGTAAACTCTGCTCGGCTGCATCCTAGACTTCAGATGCGGCAGGTCCAGAAATTCTTCAAAAAAACTTTTCAGATCACCGCCGTTTGCGATAGTATTTGTGCCGTTGATGCGCTTCCCGAAGCAGGGAAATAGTTCATGATCCGTACATGTGAGCATGGCGCTGCACTGCACTTCTTACGGCGGTAAACATCGCAGTGAGTCATTCTCGTCTAGTTGAATGCTATCAGGCCCAGGTCTCGACCTCTTACTTTAACTTAAAGCGAACTCGAGTCACAATCTCAGGTTCCGACACGTGCTACCTTCTCGGAACTTTCTTCTGCGGAGCGCATTGGCCCACTTGCAGCCGGGATCTCAACGCTGTTACACAAATATCCCCATGTCCACACACGAACTCTTGCTCTGAGTGTGCGACATATTTGGTCTATATTAATGGAGAACACAAAAGGATTTCAGCTAGCGCCACGATCATTTCTAGACTTGTGTCTAAAAGTCAGCCGTTTCAGGTCAAGGTTTCATCGCATTCATTTGAGAACACTCATACGATATCTTCTACCTTACTAGGCTGTATGGAATAATTGATAAGGAGTCATTCACGGACGTCCCTCGGATGATAGCGCCAGGCCTCGGCAACATTGAATTCTGGGCTTTGCCACACGGCTCATGTCCCTGCACGTCTTGGACGGCAAGACAATAGTTCCACGGTAGCTCCGCCAATGAATTATCATCCCAGCCTTCTACTTCTCACGACCTCCCATGCCAAACTGTCTCATGGCATGAATGACAGTATATCATAGAATCCTTCCAGTACAAAGCTTTTTGTTTCGCTGAAGCCTCATCACCCTCGATAACGAACCATCACCTCTGCAAATAAGTGCCTATCTTTGCACGAGGCGATTAATCGGTAGTGATCTGTCATCTATTATATTTGTCAACTCCCTGCTCTTGCTCAGCGCCTCAGGAGCCACACTCACATCTTCCCTCCCATATCTACCATGCATCACGCGTTGCTAGTTGATGAAATCCTGCTGAACATACTTGCCGCGCTACGAGAAGCAGACGCACCATACAGTCAGCTTAATGCTGTCGCTCGGACATGTCATTTCCTATCACCTCTGGCATTGGACTTCTTATGGTCTGAATTGCCAGACGCAAGGCCCTTGCTCCAATATATAAAACCAAGGATACCAAATGTGCGCGAACACTTGAATAATAGATACCTTGTTGGCTGACTTAATCCTCCAAGGACCCGCACATATCAGTACCATCCGCATCCTTCCAGCGCGCTGCGTCCCGTGTCCGTAAACTATCATGTCCCGCTCTGACATGTTCAGATACCCACTCCCAAATCGCCCTTACAGAACAACTACGATTATTGAGCATGATGGACATCACGACCTCGTTGTTTCCCTCCCTCCGTCGACTGTCATGGACTGACACTGATCAATCACGTTATGTGTATATCCGACTTTTCCTAAGTCCTACCCTGGAGTCGCTCGAGCTGGATTTCTTTTTCCATAAACCTCCCAACTTTCCCTTCCTAACTATACTGCCAAAACTCTGCCCCAACCTCCATAGCATGTCAATAAGCAAGCACCCTGTCATATCCTTATCAGAAGACGAGGGTCCCTCTGCCGTTCGGACGATTTGTCGGCTGCCTCGTCTCACTGCCTTAGAATGCAAGTCATCGACCATCAGCGAAGCAGATATTCTGCACCTATCTCAACTCAAGTCACTCGTGACGTTAAGCTTGGGTATCCCTTCGTGGGTGTCAAGCGACCGCAGAAGCTCAGCACCTCATAGTTCCAGGGCAGCCAAAGAATGTGCTGATTGCTTGTGGTTCTGCAACCTGCGCAATCTGCATCTTCGTGCATTTAGTATCCCAATTATCACATCCTTCTTGGAACCTGGATGCAGGCCTTTGCAGTCAGTTGTCTTCGACATCTCTGAAGCACCGACCACTGCTTCCTTAACAGAGTGTTTTAGCACACTTTATTCCAGTCACAATGAATGCAGCGCAATGCGTTCTATTAAAGTGCAAGACAGCCTTTCAAATGCTACATTCGGAGTCTCCCAATTTCTTCCCAACTCAAAGATTATCACAGCGGACGTATTCAAACCACTTTTCGCTTTCACCAAACTACGAATTTTTGATCTGGGCGTGTGCCTGTCATTTTCTCTGGGTGACTCGGACCTTACAGCAATGGCAAGCTCCTGGCCAGAACTTGAGGTCTTTTGCCTCAATGAGGGGCGTGGCTGGCATCTGTCCGCTTCTCAGCCTAGACCATTGATCACTGTCCGCGGTCTCCAATCGCTGTGCACTCTGTGCCCGAGGCTCTATCAAATTGCGATAGTCTTGAATGCCCTAGATCTATTTCTTCCCTGTCCCACAACGTCCCTGTTCTCACGGCAGGACACAGCTCTGGTTCGTAATTTGGCAGTGACCCGCCTAAGCTTAGGAGATTCGAGATTGGCCAATCCACAAGATGTCGCATGTGCCCTGTCCAGTATCTTTCCCTGCCTGAAGAAAATCAGTGCGTGGCAGTATCCTTTGGACACGTTGCCTGAAAGTCGGTATTATCGTAGGCTATGGGAAGAAGTAAACAATATCTTGCAGCAGCGTTCGAACAGGGACATTATAGCGGTAGCCAATTGATTTATATTAGACCATTAGTACAACTGTATACGAGAACTATTACGTGTATGAAGTTGTATGAAGTTATTCATGTTACCAGTACTGGTAATGTGTCGATTATCTGGATTCCAATCATGGGGGTATTAAATACTGGCTTGTGTCTGCTGAATCCAGTCGCGGCAGAAAAAAAAACCGAGTAGTTCTCTATCCGTTGTCGCCACTGATTGCACCGGATCACCAAGAAACTTAGCTGTAGGTTTCTTGCATCTATTACTGACACCATGCATTCGGCGCCGTGGATCGCAAAGACAGCGCCATGGATCATCGGCAACCGAGTATCGAGCTTTCAACCAATCAGGGCCCAACAATGGTTGTGTTTCTGCCTTTGGTGTTTGCTGTTGAATTACGTCAGGAAAGAACTGTTTGCAATCTAAACGTATGTCCGACCTTGAGGCTGCTCTGGCCTTCGAGTTGATGGTGCGATTGAAAAACTCCTTGTCGCTGAATCGTCTGGCAACCTTCCCGCATCACGGAACCTCCTTGCTGCTCGTTAAACGGTCTCGAACTGGATAGAACAGGAGTAGAGCCATTATCCTGTGGGACAGGAGGTCCGTAGAGATCATCACTGTCATCCTTCATGTGGACGTCGCCATGTTCAACGGGGGTTCCTGAAGGAGTATCTGTATGAGTACCCACTTCCTGCCCGTTTCCCCCAGGACTCTTCACCACCGAATCATAGTGAATATGTTCCTCTTCTTTAACAGGCAGTGAAGTGAATGGAGAGCAAACCCTTTCGGAGAACAAAGTAACAGAGCGAGAGGGAGGCGTATCTTCTTTTCTTGCGACAGGTTTTTCTATGAGTGAAGGATTTAAACGGTTTTCTTCTTTAGGCTGCTCCACTCCTGGTGGGTACCCGGACGAGACGACCTTCTTTCCATCTGGAGCACGGGCGTACTTGGGGGGCATAGCGGGCTGATCTAGATAGAGCTTCGTTTTATGAGGATAGTCACGGTCCGCTCTAGGACCATCAAGGTGTTGCTCTTGGAGCACACGTTTCACTTGGAGCCTTTTAACTGTAGTTGTCGGAAGTTTATGATTATCTGGAAAACGTAGACGGTCAGAGCGCAAAATCGCGGAGCGTAGGTCTTCAGCACCTATATTTCTCATCTGACTATCTGTATGATTGTCCTGATGTTGTTGGTGCTGACTGCCGTGGTCATTGTGTCGTGTGCGTTCAGCGGTATGGAGTATATGGGTGGTTGTTTCGATACTGAGTCCTGCTGGCCCACTGCCGCGAGTTGCAACGTTCGGATCGATTTTTCCCTTGTCCTTCGGAAGTACAAGCCCCAGCGATTCTTGCACCTGAACGGAGGGTGGTGGCTGTTGGTTGTCGTCCGGTCTTGGTCTCAGCGATTGAGCCGCAGTTTTGCTGCTGGTTTCAGCTGCCTGATTCTTCTTCTTACTACAACGTTTGCATATCCAACCATCGAGGCCATTGTCACGATCGCCTGCATTTTGGGAGCAGACGAGCTGAATGAGTTCATCGCTTTCGAGAGGAGGGGGGTGACATCCTAAGGACAAATAAAACGACGAGTATGTTTCCTATCAGATGTTCTGTCGTCACAAGCAACCAATCACTTACTATGATGCCAGTATTTGTGGCAGTTTCTGCACCGTAAAAGAAAGTTGGCGGGTGTGCTGCTGGACTGTGAACAGCGGTTGCAAGACATGGGACTTGTTATGTAAACTATGAACTCAGTGGTCCCGAACCCAATCCAAGTCTTTTCCCAAACAATAGAGCCACCGACTAGTAACAAAGCCCACTATACTACGCGCTTTACAGTACTTTCGGAGCACTCGCCTGCTACATCACATTATGTCAAATAGCTCATTCACGAAACACGAGCAACTTCAGCGACTTAAGCGACCTCAGCAAACCTGAATCTGTCGTCAATTTTCTTCAACAGAGATGTGAATGTAGCCACGCAAAATGCTCGAATATCCAAGGCGACTTATGCGGGCTCGACAAACAATAGAGCAGCTAGCGACAAGGCAAGAAAGATGAATCAAAACTCCACCAAGCGTACAAGACATGGACACATGAAGGGTTCTAGACGCGATGCTGAGGAATGCGCGTGAAACGGGTGGCGAAAGCTCCGAGTTTTACACTGCTATTTCTGCACTGTCCGGAAATCCACAAGTAAGTTGGCCTCGCCTGGACTTGGTTTATGTATCTCCTACGGCCACTGTATATTGAAACTTCGAAGCCAATATCTGTCATGCATACCAACGCGATATCCTCCTTGGTGGTCACAGCTAGATCCCCAACCAAGCCACGCCGACTTCTGACAACATCTCGATCAGTGTTACAACTGCCAATTTTCAACGACGTAGTGGATTTATGTAAGAGCTATGTGCGTTTTATTGGTAGAAAAAATGGCTTTTGGCGTTATAGTGATTTCCAATAGGTCAATTGGCGAGACGGCTATAGGCATACTGTTAGCGGTATGTGGGATAAAGAACAGATGCCCGCCGATAGCAATCAGGTTTTGACAACCTTGCACGCCACGCACATCCTGAAACGGGTCATCAGTGCCGGGTACGGATTTTTCTGCCAGGCCAGCATTACTTCTGATCCATCAAGTTGGATCACGCAGATACATGCTTCAGCTTGCAACGTGGGATATTATTCGTCGTTACTCAAGAATATCCGCAACTACTATTAGAAATATGGAAAGGCTTGTAGACGATTCTTCCAATGGCATGACCCTCTATTATAGTGTCCACACTGCCTTCGATAATCTGACAGTATACTTTGAACAGGCGGAGGAGAACCTGTAGGCTTTCGTTCTCGCAATGCCTCATATTAATCAGCGCTCCAGCGAGACAACGAGTACATAGCCAAGAAAGTTGGCGACAAAATCAATACACCCCGAGTTCCTCGGTAAAAGCATCACGTTCAGGAATCACGCTACCCCTGAACAAGATTTGTCGTCACCTATCCCTCGTTTCACCACCTTACACGCAAGTATTTTGCATATGAGCGTTGCATCCGAGGTATTCACACAGATCTCGGGCAAGTTTGATCGGGCAGCAGGAGGCGATGCCGGCATTCTGAAAAACAATGGGAATTCGGTGCATCAACTATTGTCTATGTGCGCCTCGTTAATTGCTTGGTATCTCACACCTTGCAGTTGCGTGGAGTTTGTGGTATAGAAGTTGTATTTATTCGTGTAAGCTTGAAAATTGCATATGCCACCTGTCATTTTCATCTGACGTCTAACGTGTTGGAATCACGCAAGCCGGTACCGGCTAGCACAACGCCAAGATCACAAACAGGTTGGTCGTCGAAGCATGTGGATCCTTTATGACAATGAGCGTCGTCCGTGCGTACCACTTGTACATGAGAAATATGGCTTTGTAGTTTTTTTTTGAGATAGAGACAGTACACTGTCCTCGACATATACAAGCTCACTCATTGGCTGTGCTACGACGACCGCGGCGGGACCCCCTTACAATGCTGTGTGCACCGCGCTCCTGCCATCTGGCGTGGTACACCATCCGAAGTAAAAGATGATACTATGTGCGAGTGGGGCTGTTAACATACGCACTAATATATTTGTTAAATTGCAAGTTAGATATATGCGTCATTTCAGTGAAATGGGTTTTCATTTCCACAGAATACAACTACAGACAAGTGAAACCAAGAGGTATCCCTCGAAACCGGACGACATAAGTCAACTGCTGATGTGACCACTATCGAGGTTGGGCGCCAAAGGCACGATTGCTAGCAGTAAGTTCAGCGCCCAATTTATATCCCATAGTCTAGACAAATTCAGTCGGGACAATGACCATCATAATAATAAACTCACTTTATCCCAGTCTATCTTTTGTCGCGTCAGGGGCAGGGCGCGCCTCAACCCTTTGAACGCCTTCTCTCCCATCTCATGATATGCATCATTCAGGGATGTCTGGCATCGCGACTCTTCAGCCTCGATCAATGCAAATATTTTGGATGCCGATGATACAGGAGATGACGATGATACAGCAGCTGGTATTGATATTGACGAGTCATTCGATGTACTGAGTTGGACCTATACCAAACGTCAGGCCAATGAGTTTGTATCCTGCGACGAATCTTACATTTCCTTGTTCGTAGTAGTGAACATTAACGAGGACTCTTCCCTGTATGGTCCTACTCTCTAAGTCTATTTCGTAGTGCGAGCGCCATCTACCAGCCCTGCAGAGATGATTTAGTTTGACATACGCGATATGTGATAATGAACGAACCAGTAATTTGATGGATTGTATTTATTGGAGACGATCTGAACAGCGAATTGGGTGGTCGACATAGCTAGCACGGTAGCAACTCCATCGTGATAGTGTGAGCTCAAGTACGACAGAGCAGCAGATTCCAACGCAACACTGATCTTTGATAAATACAATGCACATCGATGCATAACGGTTGATCCACTGACCGCTGAGGCTCAGCCTCTGAAGGCTCCTCCGACTGAGGATCTGTGGCTTCCTACTAACACCATTGGTGACCACCGCTCGTGACTGAAAGTGAGGACTCACTAGAGTCAAGTGGTTGAAAACAAAAGAGGTTTTAGATCGTGGGTCTAGATAGCGTTCTTCTTCGGTGCCGGGTACACGCGCAAATTCGCTAACTATTGTCTAGAGCAAGATCCAATGAATAACGGCATCTCGACGCGTTGAACCAGATACTGACCTGATGGTGTTCACCTGGCACTTCGACCGTTGTGAACTGCGCGATGTTATATTCCCGAAGGGCAGGAAGGATGCCTTCCTCTAATCCCGCGTCATCATCTACGATGACGCGAACATCTGCACGGAATGGACCAGAAGTCAGCGTTGCATGGAGAGACAAGGTACTAAGTGCTAGGCACCGTTCAAGACGTCATTGATCTCTCCTGGAGGCGATTGGAGGATGAAGGAAGCAGCCACTTGTACACGATCTTCAGAGCTCATCACGATGATCGATTCTTCTGACGCGTCCCGTAGGTTTGGCTTTCAATTGTAAGTCGAACTTGAAGCTGTAGCATTCGATGAGAGCGATCGGCAACTGCCGATAAGAAGTGCATAATCCAGCAAGTACTTGTGTTCTACTGGTAAAAAATATAAAACTACAGCTGACGTGGAATGGTTCCGGACAACAATACAGATGTTAATTCTGATGTATTTGTAGAATGTCTTTTAAGATCAATCTAAGATGATCGTGAGTGCCGTAGATCACAGTTTAGCCTTGAACTGGTCCTCGGTGACACCCTTGCCCATGGCTGCTGTAGACGATACACCACCGGTCACAGTCTTTATGAGATTATCGGCGTAATCAGCGCCACTCCACTGTTCAAGCATTAGCTTCAGGGCGTACGCATGAGCTCGTAGTGGCAAACCTTTTGATGCGTCAAGACATCACAGCTAATCTCCCGCTCTTTGCTCTGGACAATCTCCACGTACGCTTTCATACCTTCCTTCGCATATGAGCGAGCAAAAAGGTCGCTTATGTATGCATTGGAGTGCAAGCCGCCGAGCTGACAAGGAGATCAAAGTCAGTTAAGCGTTAGTTGATTGTTCGTTTAAGTACTAACCGTGATAAATTGCCAGACGAAGCCAAGTTTGCCCAGCTCCCAGACAAAATTTTTCATATCCTGGCTATTCAAACCAGCGGCTTCCCAGTTGAATGAAGGGCTGAGGTTATATGCCAACCAGTGACCTGGGCGTGCAGCATGGACCCCGCGAGCGAACTCCTGGGCTTGGGCCAAGATCGGTTTCTTTGTTTCCATCCAAAGGGCATCGGCGTATGGTGCGTACTCAATAGACCGTTTGATCGCACACTGGGTGCCACCTTGGTAGCGATAGAACCCTTCCCGGGTCCGAGGTGTATCCCAGTTCCAGTAGGGTACGGACTTGAGACCAAACTCTCTCTGTGCAATGACCACTGCTTGAGGGTATGACGAGTGCGCAACACGGGAGATGAATCGATCCGTGGTAGCCTTCGATGCACCTTGTGCGGACAGGGCATTAGCCAAGGTCTCAGAGAACAACTGCAAGTTCGCAGACGCAATCCAAGCGTCCTCAACCGCCTGCAAACCATCACCAGACTTTCCGGCATTCTCGGCATCTGTCATAACGTTCACAAGAGGGGGAAGATCCGGATTTGTGGAGCCGAAAATGAAGGGGTGGTCACGGTCGTCAATGTTTGAGGTAATCAGGGTAGCGGCTTCTGAATCGGTCCGTGCAATGACCAAATTCTCTACACCCATGATGTCGTATTGAAGTCGAATGGCAACGAGGCGGTTGATATGCTCAGATATGGGCACAAGAACCTTACCTGCCATGTGTCCGCATTTTTTTGTGCCAGGTGCTTGATCCTCGATATGAACACCAGCCGTGCCTTTTTCGACGAACATCTTTGTAAGCTTCATAATCGCAGTGAGGCCACCATGTCCAGTATCAGCATCGGCAACGAGTGGACGGAGATAGTCAATGAACGGTGTCGCAGCAAGCTCTGCTTCGGACATATTCGAACGAGCTTCGCGTTGCTTACGGTCATGGAAGAGCTGTGCCATGAATAGGTGCTCAACCTTGTTAGGAACCGTATTCGAGGGGTAATCTGGATGCAAGTTAAGGAAGCTACGTTATCGCCGAAGGAATGTGCGTACCAGCAAGATCGGGGCCGGGTTCGTTGGTAGACGAAGCCGTGCTAGAGGATTGCCAACCAGAAACATAAATTGTCTCAAGGTACTTGGCCATCTGGGTAACCTGTACAGGGTCTAGGCTATACACGTTCCATTAATCCCGTCACACAGAAGTATCTTGCGGAGGTCACTTACGCCCCATATGTGTGTGATGGTGTACCATTCTTGGCATGCTCGGAGAGCAGGGCGAAGAGCTTCTTTCCTTGAATCTCGGAAGGATATTTGATTGGAATGCTACCCCGCTTCGCGACGACCTGAGCAGCGGTATATGGCCGCTTCACTCTGGCGAAACGTGGGCTCTTCATGATCGACATTGCTCAATACCGCAACTCACTTCTTGCAGTTTAGGGGCTCACCTGGAACCACCGTTCGACCTCAGCGACCTCAACCTGGAAAGCGGCGCGCTCAGCGTTTGCCATGACAGTAATACTGGGAGGATGATTGAAGGTGACAGGAATATGAAACTGTCGTTAAAAGGTGAATCTATTCAATGGGTCAGTAAGCTCAGCGGCGAGGTACGGATGAGACATGTGATTCCGCCAACAGCACTTGATCTAAATTGATCCAAATCATAACTCCAACACTACCGATGACAACGGTACTATGGAGCGAAATTGTACTAGGCTTGAATGTTCGCTCGTGATTACGCTCTATGTCCGGAAACACGGGGTACACAGGCGGCGTTATACGGACTTTCAGCGGGAGCGACCCCGCTCGAAGCTGTTGCCCCGCGAGCCACATGTACCCTCTGGTGTAGCAGAGCAATGATTCGGCCGACATGACAAGGTCTACTGAAGCTTGCTCATTCAGGGCACTCATTAAAGCCAAATCTAATCCTAAAAACTTAAATCTGTTTGATTGACACCTGTTACACGTCACACGCCGAACAATGCCGATGAACAACAACTTCGGCGGCTCAGTACACACTCAGTTTACTCCGACACCTCCCGCCTATCTCTGACAGTTTATTTTTCTTCGCTTGTTGTTCAAACAGTAAATAAACTCGCGAAAGAAACTGTCATTGAGTAGGTTTAATATCATGATATATAACGTGGTGATCTAAGTAACCAAGATACCCCCCCCCCTCATCTCCTCCAGCAGGTTCTTCACCGTCCGAAAGCCTCCGCATATCACTGGTACGGGCTGTTTGCGGTGCCACCGTGAAGCCGCCATGGCCAGGAGGACCCTGAGGTCCACTATAGGTTGTGCCCCACGACAGTAAAGCCAGGCTTGTGTTTGTCTAAATTAAGTATTATTCATGTTGCTGTTGATGGCATATGCATCATCACCGCCTGTCGCCATCATAGACGAGGCCAGCTAAACCGTAGCGTATAGTAAAAGCAAAGACACTGCCCGCGATCTGTCAGGAAAGAATTCAGGGAGGAGGTGCCAGCGTCAGTAATTTGGCGAACAGGGATGTGCTAGACCTGCACACCTGAGTACACATGAGTACCTGAACGAGCTTCTTCTCGTTCATAGGACCCAGACGCAAGAGAAGGAAATTGAGGATCGTCAGATTGGTGGCTTCAAGGACAATTCCGTTGGTTGGGTCCATAGTCAGCTCTGTGAGGCCGAGTGTGGCAAATATACGCAGGGTAAGAGACGCGAGCTTCGTAGGAGGCCGTTTTTCAAAGACGGTTTTTGAAGGGTGCAGCAGATTGGTATCAGAAACGAATCTAAAGGGATATCATACGTTAGTCAATGACGGACTGTATCTCAAAGATGATGGTAGAACCTTGGAACGCGATGCCGAGGACACGGCACGATACCGAAGAGCTGTGGGCATGAGAGCAAAAAGTTGAAAATCTGAGGAATAAAGAACAGGAGTAGGGTCTTGGAGAAGTGTGCCTGTATTCCGACCACGGAGAAGGCCATTCCAGTAGCATAACAGAGCGTGTCTCCGGGAAACGCACGCGCAGGATACCTATGGGTAATGATAAATAGCCATTCGAGGACTTTGGATCATTCGAACTCACCAGTTATGATACATAAATCCAAGACATACACCCACGAGAGGAAGCATGAAGTACAGACTAAAGAGATGTCTGTCAACAAGTTCGATACTTCCATAGGCCATTCCTGCATGCCAGGCCCCACCGACTTCGACTTCAATTTGATTGCCGAGAAGGTGCACGGGTATACGGAAGTCAAATGGCCAGGGCATGTATAGAAGATCGTTAATGATAACAGAAATTGCGATGATCAACGCTTGGCTGACTTCGGAGCCATTGATCCCAGCGAGAATGTTGATGCTGTTAGTCGTAAATGTCGAAAGGAGTGACATGTAGAGATAATACAAGGGACCTGAAGGAATGTTGAGAACATCATGATCGATGATACAATGAAAATTACAAACCTAGGTTTACAAGAAGGCCAAGGAATGGCCGAAGAGGAATAGGTACGACTACATGAGTATTCCCTCCTTCCGCATAGTAGACCATCAAGAGCGGTATAGCAGCAATAAGCGGGATAGGCAGCTTATGCCTCCATCGGATATCGAACACATCGTCGAGGAACCCCAACAGAGTTGCTATCAAGAGCGATAGCAATGATGACAGATATACAGATAACTTTACTGCTCATTACACAGAGATTCTTTCAACACTGAGGGGGTACTAACCTGATGATGTAGAGACGCAGCGCCCAGCAAGCCTTCGATCTTGCTTCCTCCGCCAGAAAGGCTTGCGATGGAGGTGGAGAACGAGAAAGGAATAAACAAGATTAATAGCAGGATATATATTGACGCGCAGACGAGGCCTTGACTTTCTGGTCTTAAGATGCAAGTCAGCTTTCGACCTTGTGCTCGTTCAAGGGCACGAACATAGGATCAGAGTAAACCTTCAAAAGATCTTTCCCTTTCAAGTTGGCTTTCACGAATGTTGGTCCAAGTGCAGGGACCAGGTAAAGCGTGGCAACGAATGCAAATATAGAGAACCCAACAGATGCCCATAAGGCTGGCAATGGAGGCACGGGGTCTAGCAAAGGACGAACAACAAACCATGAAGCAACTGGTATTAGGGATATGAACAAGATGCTAGGAAGTGGTCTGGGGGATAGTGGAGGCGCCATGGCTTGCCTGCCGATGTTCCTAGTAGTAGTATGATGTTCTTGTTGGTGAAGCTCTCCACGTGCGCTGTGACCGACGTACGCGTCGTTGAAGACGTGTTACTGTCACCGTCAGGATCAATTTCAGCACGTGAAGATGCGCTGCTCTTCCGTTTATGGCCACGACTTCAACCAGCTCAGGGGAATTTTCTACGACAAATTCATCGTGTCGGAGTAACTGGGTCTTGAACCGTGAAGGATGCTGCATAAAGATCGCAGAAGGCAAAGGAAGAGGTGTTTATGGTGAGCAATTTCATCTAGATCTTAGAACAAAAGTTGAGGACGAATGGCTGTTGGCAGCATCTCGCGTTATACCACCCCAGACCGTAATCGAAGTTAGCCCTGTGCTACTTTTCACCAGAACTGAGTATGAGGACTATGGAAGACATACGATCCTGGACCATTACACGTTCAAATGGCGAGATGGACGAATGGCTCTCGCCCTTGGGCTCGGTGAGATTTGTTCTCGGCACATCATCATCGTTTACTCAATGGAGACATGTTGGTACTGCTTAGGCTCCCTTTTCAATCATTCGAGCCATCCAAATTTGTCATACATGATCGATCCCGTTCATGAGTGTATCAGGTATACGTCGGCAAGGACAATCAACCCCGAGGAAGAGCTGTGTATCTTCTACGGACATCAACTCTGGTTTGATCCCGTGGGCACCACAGAAAATTTGAAACCTCAAGTCTGTCTCGACCAAAGTGACCAGTCTGAATTTCTTGATATTCTGGCTATCGATGGTGAGGTGGATGAGATTGAACCACGGGATACTGGCGACCCGAACGATGATATCCTGGAAGGCGAGGCTCTTCCGTTCATTTGGAAGAAGCTTCAAATAGATGAAGAAGAGGAGTCAATGGAAGACATTAGGACAAGTACGTTCAGCCCACTTTTTGAAAATTGAGAGCGTGACTCACCACAACATTTAGTGCATGCCTGGGCGGTTGACATCCCGGACTTGAAATATATAGCGACGATGTTAAAGTGAGACTATTCGCTACAATGTCACTAACCAACACTCAAACCCACTAGATGGCTGAAACAGTCAGGTCTCGAGAGCGATACCCTGTCACATCTCAAACGCATCAGGAAAAGAGATAGTATCACCACGCTCCTGCTCAGCGTCTCGTCTTCGGTCCCTTTACTTCCTACGAACGTTGATATCGGAGATCCTTATCAGATTCCTGTCCCCTGCAATCCCGCTTTAACACAAACGTCACTTATCTTTAAAAATACGTTGTGGCCTACTGTATACGCACCACGGCGGAAATGGGAACCCGCAAAATGGTCTATTGCTAAAGTCCAATGGGCTCGTAATGCCGTCAGTCATATCTTGCGAAATACCGCTCAGACAACGTCAAGTGACGAGGTTAGTTTAATTAGAAGCTTGCCATGGGAAGGGGCTCACAGTATCTTAGCTTCCAGTTATTGCACACGTGCCCAAGCCCTTCGAAGACGAAGCCTTGTTGTCTCGGTCATTTACAGCCAAAGATACGCGTATGTCCACTGGGCATCCTTTACGCCATGCCGCAATGAACATCATTCGAAACGTGGCTGATTGGCGTGCAAAAACATCCCCCACCGATCTTCTACCCGACCCTGCTGCTTCTCCTTCTAACGGCAGCCTTGGAATCTCAGACACATCGTGCAATGGCACGAATTACCTGCTAACTGGGCTTACGCTCTTCATAACTCACGAACCATGCATCATGTGCAGCATGGCCCTGCTGCATTCGCGCGTCAAAGAAGTTTTCTATATCGTCCCCATGCCACGAACAGGAGGATGCGGTGGATCTGAATGTCTGCCTGCACTCAAAGGTGTTAACCACCGCTATAACATCGCACAGTGGAGATCAAGAGACGTTGATAGTGCAGCCCCAGCACATGTTGATGAGCAGATAGATGTATAATGAACTGTCATCTAGATGGCTTGATAGCACAATGAATGATCCCTTCAAATGTACCTGCCAACCATCTGAACGATTCTTCTAACTTGTGGTGCAAGTGTCGACAAGCAGATGATTATCTAGATGTAAGGACTCGGAGTACCTTTCCACCGACGATGTGATTCCCTTTGTACCGCTCTGATGAGCCACCCGCTTACATATAAAAGCATGTCCTTACTTTCCGTACCCATAGGCATTGGTCAAAGTCCCACTCATCAATACTCGACACTCACGACCCGTCATTCCCCGTCAAGCTCATCAACAGCCTTATTACATAGATGCCACCAGCCATCTAAGCGATTCTTCTAGCTTCTTCTATTGAAATAGGTTACAGTACATATATACTGTTCGGTGGACAACGATGAATCGGGGCATAAGGAAAGCAACGATAGCATGCAAGTGACAACAGTTCAAAAATAGATACATTCCGTCGCCTTCCCGCATTCTCCGTCGTCCGTCCTGACAGTCTCGGACTTCTGTCTTAATTCCATCCCCATAACGACTCGTCACTAGAGTCGTGTGAACGAACGCAGTTGCAGCGCAGGTGGCTGCCACATCTTGTCATGAATGAGTCCCAAAAGGTCAAGATCGGGGAGTGTACGGAGATAAGCATTATCATCCAATTTCTGAACGAGTACAAAGATCAGCGTCGAATTTCTACTGATTGTTCCTTCCTTACCTCTTTTTGTGCTTGTCTGATGACAGCAAATGCGACCTGGGCGCTGATATCCCTTATGCGCGCAAGGCGAGGATATACGAGTTCGGCCGCTTTCTCTTCCTCGGTCAATGAGTTGGCAAGTGCGATGGCTGCCTGTTCGACCATGGCATCCGATACGTGCCGAGTTCGGGAGAGGATGGAACCGAGGCCGATACCAGGGAAGATGTACATGTTGTTTCCTTGGCCAGGCTCGTACACAACACTATCACGGGAGACAGACTTGTACGGGCTACCTGACGCGAAGATGACCTGACCATTGGACCTTTACAGGCGAGGATCATTAGGATCGACTATCTGCGGGGGCTCTGTTGACTTACCATTCAATGGCATCCTGGTAGTCCAGTTCGCATAGCGTGACAGGATTCGACAAGGGGAAGATGATGGGACGGGTGTTCAGTGCACACATCGCTTTGACGACTTTCTCAGTGAATGCATTCTAGAATGAAGTAAGGTTATGTAAAACATAACTATTACTAGAAGGCGTACTCTGATGGTGCTCAGGCCGAGCAAGGCGGTGGGCTTCACGTGGTTAATGATGTCAACAAGGTTAGTGAGCGCAGGGCCGTCATAATCAGTGCGTGCGAAGACTGTAATTGCACTTTAGCTCGTAGAAAACAACGTAGGCATATTCTCGTACACTTCTTATGCTCTTGGAGACCCTTGCGGTCAGCAGTAATAAGACCTTTTGAATCAACAGTCTAACAGGCTCATTCAGTGACAAATTCAAATGCCCTTCGAATGTGGCTTGGCTCACATAGATTCGAGACCTTGCTTCTTCGGGACTCAGACCAGACAAGGTAAAGAAGGACAATAACTGCTTCGCAACGCCGATACCTGCAGAACCGGCTCCGAGGAATAAGATTTTGTGATCTGATGGCGGCAACCCGGAGGCGGCAGAAGACAAACGAGCGGCATTTGTGAAACCTGACAAGATTACGGATCCAGTGCCTTGGATCTGCACAGGGGTCAGTACAAAAACAGAGTAGGAGTTGGATTGTGATTGACTGACATCATCGTTGAAAACACGATACTGATGGCGGTACCGTTCGAGGTATCTGAACGCGTTATCTGTTGAGAAGTCTTCGAATTGTACTAGAAGGGTGGGGAAGACTTCTTTCATGGCCTCCATGAACTCGTCCATGAATTCGTCCATCTGGAATATACATCAGTACATCAACGTGCACACGGTAGCAGGGGGACATACTTCTGGGCCCAGTGGGCGTGGGCGGCGAACGCCGATGTAAAGAGGGTCATCGAGATAGCGTTGTGTATTGGTACCCAAATCCAGGCAAATGGGGACCTAGCTAGGGTCAATTGGGTGCAGGTGGATACTAACAGCATGGGCTTACAGTAGATGACGGTTTAATGCCGGCACCAGCAATGTACAGGTCCCTGCGTAATTATGTTCGATGAAGGATCCTCTGAAAAAGTGTGAACACTCACAATTTTCCAAGACTGATGGGCAGGCCGTTTGCCCCAAGATCGCCCAAGCCAAGAATACGAGAACCTGATGGTTTGATCAGGGAGGTACATAACACGGAGGGTCCAACTAGCTCACCATCGGTAACGACGGCTATGCGCCCGTCATTGAAATTTGGCCAGCTGGCTAAGACGTCGCGAATGCGACCCTTGTCTTCAATGGAGACATATAGACCCTCTGGTCGCCTCCATATATGGGAGTAGTTGACACAAGCTTCTCCAACCTTTGAAGAGCGCTTCTTAAGTATGATCACACGACTTGGTGGAACACCTTACAGTTGGTGTATACAAGATGGGAATCATTTCCTGAGTAAATCAAAACACCTCAGTCCCGGTTTTACACGAGACAATGAGGGCGGCTTACTTGCATGTTCTCAAGCAAAATGTCATAGAATAAATCAGAGTCACGGCCTTTGAGCCCATTTAGATAGATATATTTTTCAAGACCAAGCTGTTTAGAACGCATTTGGTTGAGAGAGCGCTGATGGTGATCAGTTTTGGCAAAATGGGGAGGAAAGCGAGCTGGCGACATGGTATGAAAGTTGGATGCGAGTGAACGGGATGGGCGGTTGAACGCAGAAGCTAGTCTAGCTTTATAGGAAGAGCAAGTGGCACGATACAGCATTCAGAATTTGAAACAAAGTTCTCGGCACAAGGTGGTACGAGAGGAGGAGGAAACTCCAGACTCCCCACAGCTTCGAGTCTATAAAAAGGGCTTTAATAAGGATTCGGGGAAATATGTACCTCGGCAAAAAAAATTATATCAAGTCAGCATTATGGATTAATGTAATTGGACCACGGGGAAAACACTAGAGCACTCTTCTAGTGGCATCGGTATGAAAATCGACTCATTTGGCCCTGCAGGTCAAGTGGAACGATGGTAGTTGTGCTCCCAATATGGAAAGAGGTCGTGACAAGAGTCGGAAGCAAGTCGGAAGAACGGAAGACTACGGAACGGGTTGTCGCGTCGGACGGTGTTCGTCACCACTGTTGCATTGATCAGTCAAGTAGATCAATTAATTGCATCGGTAACCGCAAAACGTGTGCATGTGCATGAGTATAACAGGTCCAATCAACACGACTATACGAAGACAAAGGTACACTAAATGCGCAGCTGCTGAAGCCAGAGCCAGTCAGTCATGCATGAATGATTAGAGGCCTGAGAAACGGACCAAGAAGATTGCTCCCTTGGTAAAGTACCTCTTGTCATCTCACCAGAATTCACGGCGTTTCTGCTTAATAGCAACGAAGGTGGCCTTCTTCTCTCCCCACTGCTCCCTCACACTTTCATGCTCTGCCTCAACCTTCCTTGCGAACTCCTTCCGTTGGGGCCTCGGAAGGGCAGCAACTTTGGTCACAAAGTTCGGCGTGCATTTGAACATTTTGGCGAGTTTAGTACGGCTGTATTTTTCTGGATTAGACAGCCTCAGCTTCCGTAGCTGCTCCATGTCTTTATCAGACATTCGCGACGGTGTAGCATTGTAAGCCGAAGGCCGTAATAAAGGTGGCATTGGTGCATGTTTATTAGATGGTGTTGGAGGCTTGAGCAATGGAGATGCAGGAGCTAACGTTGTTGAATGAGGTGAAGGCGCTGTTGGGGGAGGTCGATGAATGAAGGTCAAGTTCTCGTCCTTGAGTGTTTTGACAACGGCGTTTGAACGGTTCAGCAATGGATCTGGAAAACGCGCAGGAGGCTTTTCTGCAATACGAGTTGCATAGCTGCGAGTGAATGAAAGAGATAACCGTGGTTTCAGCATTTGAGCTGTCCGTAGGAGGTTCATTCAGCAGGAGTTAAAGCAAAACATCGACGCTTACATAAATATTCCCATCCCTATAGTGGACGCGTTGTCTGCTCAAAAAGTTCATTCAAGTTATGCAGGCAACAAGGTCAATACGACTACCTCGCAAGCTGTCAGCATGCCGCCTAATTCATAATCATTCTATCCTTCGTTCATCAGATCCTTCTGGACGGACAACTTCATTTGGCTTCAAGACAGTCCCAGAGGAATCGAAGGAATCACTTGTGAAGGGTGTTTTCGACTCTGTTGCGTCGAAATATGACTTGATGAACGATGCAAGCTCCCTCGGCGTGCACAGGCTGTGGAAAGATTCCTTTGTAGACTCTCTCAAACCGGGTCGCAAGGGCCCCCTTCGGTGTATAGATGTTGCAGGAGGAACAGGCGACATTGCTATCCGTATCCTGGATTATGCGAGGGAGAACTATGCAGACAGAGAGACGACCGTGGACATCGTGGACATCAACGCGCAGATGCTCAAGGAGGGATTCACGAGATTCAAAAAGACGATGTACCATAATAGTGAGCTTACTGTGCCTGCCGTATACTCTACTTCATGACATCTGTCAGCACCTCAGGTTTCATTCCATGAAGCAAACGCACAAGAGCTACCTGCTTCTCAGTTTAGGAATGATTCATATGACCTGTACACGATTACGTTTGGTATTCGCAACTGCACGTCCATCCCCGCCGTGCTAAACGAGGCTTACCGGGTTCTCAAGCCTGGCGCCACCTTCGCGTGTCTTGAATTCAGCAAGGTTAATAACCCGCTTTTGAGCACGTAAGTGATTTTTGTTTATTACTATCTTCATTTTAATTTAGTGCGTAGACTGTACGACCAATACTCATTCACGGTCATCCCACTGCTTGGAACTATCCTAGCTGGCGACCGCGATTCATACCAGTATTTGGTAGAATCTATACGTAAATTCCCAAGCCAACCCGAATTTGCGCAGATGATCAGAGATGCAGGGTTCTCCACGGGAGGTGATTTTGATGGTGGTGCGTGGACAGATCTTTGGGGAGGCATTGCCTCGATACACACAGGAGTGAAGATTTAGCAGTATCATAATTTTCATTCTCGTACTACAATTCTAATACCCATTGTGTGTCTCGCTTTCTTTGTGAATTGCGTGAGTTGCTGCAAACAATATTTGTGGAAAGCACACGAAGTAGCGCCACCGTGACAGCCGCGCCTCTCTGCCAGCGTACTCACGAGTCACGACAGCTTTCATAAACGGCCACCATGTCTTCTTCTTCAACAACAACAACAACCGCGTCCGCTCATGTCTCTCATCAAATGCCACCTGCAACTGCAGATCTTGCAACAACATGGGCTTTCCTTGAGGAGGGAGTAGACCACATCATGACCAAGCTCCAGACTGGCGTCTCATACTCCAAGTATATGAGCCTCTACACCGTGGCATACAATTATTGCACGTCCTCGCGCATGCATAGTACCACTACAGATACAGTTGGGCAGGGAAGCAGAAGTAAGTGTCATTGGCAGAAACAACTTTCCCGTGGTGATAAGGCCGCAGTCTGACTCCTCAGCAGCAGGGGCTAATCTGATGGGCTCGGATCTGTACAACAATCTCATTCGGTATTTTATCACCCATCTCAAGCTCCTCAAAGATGTACGTTAACTCCTTTCCCCCGATCTCACGAGCGATCAGACATTATTCTTATCCGTTCTACAGCAATCCGATTCCCTCCAAGATGAAGCTCTTCTACGATACTATGCTGGTGAATGGGACAGATACACGACAGGTGCTAACTATATCAATCGACTATTCACGTATCTCAATCGCCACTGGGTGAAGCGAGAAAGGGACGAAGGTCGGAAAGGAGTCTATCCTGTATACACCGTGCGTCGCCCCTTTTCCTCACGCTGTCACACTGATCCTCATGCACGCATTGCCTCTCACAGCTCGCACTCGTGCAATGGAAATCAAATTTCTTCCTTCACGTCCAAAGCAAGCACACAAAGCTCGCTGGTGCTATTCTCCGATTGATCGAGCGCCAAAGAAATGGCGAGACGATCGATCAAGGTCTTGTGAAAAAAGTGGTCGACTCATTCGTTTCGCTTGGTCTTGATGAGTCGGACATCAACAAGGCATCGCTTGATGTCTACAGGGAGCATCTGGAGACACCGTTCCTTGACGCAACGGAGAAGTATTACGAGCAGGAGTCCGAGGCATTCCTTGCAGAGAGCAGTGTATCTGACTATCTGAAAAAAGCCGAAGAGCGCCTGAAGGAGGAAGAGGACCGTGTCGACCGATACCTAAACACTGACACACGGAAGCAGCTCGTCAGCAAATGCGAGCATGTGCTGATCCGACAACACTCTGACCTCATGTGGGAGAGCTTCCAAAGCTTGCTCGATTTTGACAAAGACGAAGATCTGCAGAGGATGTACGCACTATTATCGCGCATACCCGAAGGCCTGGAGCCTTTGAGAAAGAAATTTGAGGAACATGTGAAGAAGGCCGGGCTGGCCGCTGTTGCAAAACTCTTGGGCGAAGGATCAGAGGGTGCAGATTCGTTGGATCCCAAGGCATACGTCGATGCACTACTTGAGGTTCACCGCAAGAACTCGGAAACCGTTACGAGGAGCTTTAGGGGAGAAGCTGGCTTTGTTGCGTCGCTCGATAAGGCATGCAGAGAATTTGTCAATCGCAATGCTGCAACGGGTTCGTCGACGACAAAGTCGCCAGAATTACTGGCTAAGCACGCGGATATGTTGCTTCGCAAAAACAACAAGATGGCTGAGGAGGAGGACCTTGAAGGTGCTCTGAACCGCGTGGTAAGTACCTCGTTTGATGACCTCTGCTTATGTCTGTCTCATTCGTGTGCGTAGATGGTACTTTTCAAGTACATTGAGGACAAGGACGTCTTCCAGACGTTCTACGCTACGAAGCTGTCCAAACGTCTCATTCACGGTGTATCTGCATCAGACGAGAGTGAGGCGAGCATGATCTCCAAGCTGAAGGAGGCCTGTGGTTTCGAGTACACCAACAAGTTACAGAGAATGTTTACCGGTATGCTCCGTGCACCATACACCACCTTGCGGTCGCTTATTTGCTTCTGTAGACATGAGTCTCAGTAAAGACCTCACCGATCAGTTCAAGGAGCGCATGGCGAATCACGACGACATGGACATCAACTTCTCCATCATGGTCCTCGGCACGAACTTCTGGCCGCTCAGTGCACCCAACAACGACTTTATCATTCCTCCCGAAATTCTTCCTACGTACGACCGCTTCTCCAAGTACTACCAGACGAAGCACTCCGGCCGTAAACTGACCTGGTTGTGGAATTACTCAAAGAATGAGCTGAGGACAAACTACCTCAATCAGAAGTACATTTTGATGACCAGTTCTTATCAAATGTCCGTTCTTCTGCAGTACAACAAACATGACACATTATCACTGGAGGAGTTGATTACCGCTACGGCCATCAGCAAGGACATCTTATCTCAGGTGCTCACACTTTTGGTGAAGGCCAAAGTTCTGATCAACGAGGAGACAGATCAATATGATTTAAACCCGAGTATGGCTTGCCTTGTTTATATTTCGTGTGGGGCTAACGCACTCCGGTTAGACTTCAAGTCTAAGAAAATCCGTGTCAACTTGAATCAGCCGATCAAGGCTGAGGTGAAGGCCGAGTCCTCGGAGGTACTCAAGACTGTTGATGAGGACCGTAAATATGTGATTCAGGCCACCATCGTTCGTATCATGAAGGCGCGCAAGACGATGAAGAACCAGCCTTTGATCCAAGAGGTGATTTCTCAGATTTCGCAACGATTCGCCCCCAAGATTCCCGATATCAAGAAGGTAGGATTCCTTGTTTCTTCGCTGGAATGTAGACTTATTTGTGGTTCTAGGCAATCGACACGCTGTTGGAGAAAGAGTATATTGAGCGCGTGGACGGCACGAGAGACACATTTGCATATGTGGCATGATTCTAGTCTTTATCAAGGCAACTCCCTGTATCATACATTCCTTCTTGTAACCTAATATCGTGTATTGTCCTCAGAAGGTCAAGCGCATATTCTCTTCCTTTTATTTCCTCTTTTATATGCTCTCGGGAGCGAAATTCTACAATCTGTGATTGATCTAGCTATGATAGCATCCGAGTCAGTGGCGATTGGGTGGGTCGGTGATCTCACGGGAGGCGTGTGTGATTACAAGGCAGTGGATATCCGTTTTGATACACAGGACGGTGGAGCAGCACCATAGCCCCGCAACCCCCCCGTGACCTCCTTGGCTCGGTCCAACGTTAACCTTGACGCCGCCTTGGCTAGTACTGCCCCGCAAACCTATTCGGGTCCAGGTCCTTGTGCCGCTGAGCAGAAACCGCATTTTCCCACGTATCGCAGTCATGACTTTGCGGGATGCGCTCCTGGCAGGTCTCAACAGCCTACCAGGCACTCGTGAGTTCCATCTTCATGTCTTGGTCTCATCACCCAGAAAGCACGGGAACCTTTTCCCGTTTGCAAATCCACGACCGAGGTCGTACTTGCAGGATATTTTGATTCTGCTTTCCGAACAAACCACACCAGACTCTCCCTCCGTTTTCGTCTCTGCAATCGAAGCATGCGTGTATAACATCCCAACGACATCCTGTGCGATATTGTATGTCTCGAAAGTCGACTCTACTGGACAAGCAACTGCGCCATCTCCCACTCCAGCTCTTGTTCGCGCACTCTTGTTGTTCTACGCAGACCCTGCCACGCGTCCCATCTCTGCTGACCATCTGTGGATCCACGTGTTTGCAAGAGCACAGAATCAATACCTATTCCCAAACTCTTCAGAATACCCGAAAAAACATCCCCTGAGCGATATCAAACTCTGTGCTTGGTGGAAACGCCAATTCAGCACCGTCATAGGCGAATTAACGTCTCGTGTGGGCGATACCTGCCGTACGAAACTATATTATACTCTACCTGGTCTCAGCGAGTTTGAAGCTCATCACTCGCTGGAGAGGGTATACCCATCGACTGGTTCGACCTCCAGTTGGACATACGGTCACCCTTATTCCCAGGACGAAATCCCCCTACCATGTCCTTGTCCTTCCGGGGGCGATTCGCCTCGCCATCTAGGACAATGTATACCGTCATTTGATGATGACCCTAAATCTCGGTTTATTGATGAGATTGCGTACACGACGGATGCGGATGGGATAAGGTCCCCAGAGCGAAAACGCCCAAGAGCGGATACGTTAAAGACGTACGAAGAAGACGTATCGTCAGCCGACGCTTCAGAAAAGAAGGAAGGTCGGAGTAAAAAAGAGGACCAGACCCATAAAGAAGTCAAGAAGGTGTCTGTGGAAGAATTCTGGGAGCGGATGTCGTTCCGACAGGAATGTATTGCAGGGGCGGTTACCGGGTTTTTCGTCATTGCTGTCTCTGCCGCCACACCAGCTTCGACTCTCTCCAAAAGTGAAGTGTCACCGCTTGCGCCCCAACCAGGGCAGGTTTCATCTGTGATGAACAAACGTGTGTTGACGTCACTATTAACTGCTCATGAATTTCCGTCTGTGGAAAAGGCGGTGTGGTCGACTAAAGTGATTGAGGATTCTATACGAGGGTTATGCGATGGTCTCAAGTCGAATCCTCTTCCACTTGCCGTACCAGACAGGTCGGGCCGACAAACACCCGAGCCAGACCCTGTTCGGACCACTCTAGCACCTCCGCAGACGCCTCCACCTCGTCTTGTCAATGGAAAAAGGCCGATCGTTGACATATCTCCCAATCCATTTCCAGAACCAGTTGCTTCTCTAGAAACATACCACTCGTACATATTTGGTTCGATTGCGGTCAAAAATCGCCCATCGCCGACGAAAGAACGCAGCGAAGCCACACTGAGCGCTGGTAACGGCACACCTCCAACAATCACGGTGCTGACAGCGAGGAAGAAGCGGACGAAATCATAAAGGGACGCGCGGTGAATAACGGTCCAGCCTATCAGATGAAATGTGTGCTCATACGTAGATTTGAAATAGACTTCTAGGAGGCTACCGCGTTTACGTCGCTGGTGTTGACGTATGATTTGGGTGGGTTTCACTGGCTTGTAGGAGAGTGTCGCGGGTACCCATTTATGGGGTGTAATGTTGTCGTTTATGAAAGAGATGCTAACGCCTCGCGTTAGGCTGACGATCGGATCTTGGACCGTGTACTTCATGGGGGATGGTGGTTACGGGGCATTGAAGTGACTACCAGGCTCTGATGAGAAAGAATCCCAATTTGAATTTTGATCTAGGTTCGGACCTCAATTGGGTTCTGTCGAAGATTCTCGTCGTATCGTTTTTTTCATTATCTGTTGAGAACACTGGGGTGCTACGCCGTTACGTCTGAGTGATAAGGAGTTAAAAAGTGAGATTGGTGTTCGGGTGAGAATTTGGGTTGGATGGGTTAAATGAAGTCGGTTACGATACATATGCATATGGCGTTCTTTTTCTGTTGTACGCTGTTTTTAGAAGGCTGGAGGTTATTGTGTCGAAGCAGAGGGTACCCACGAGTGTTACGGTATTATAAGAATTGGTTGGGGACTCCAATGATATACTTATAACCCGCATGGTGATTTTCCCTTGGATGGTAACCAACTTGGTACACATGCAATGAGGCAGCTACCAGCCTACGCCCAGTTTGAGTCACATATCAATAGGGCCTATCGGTTGCGAAGGAAGAGTATGCTCAAGTTGTGATAGTCAAACTTTGACCGGCTGTCGCCCCACGGAAGAACGTAAATACAGGAGACTCGGCATATGAGCCTAGCACAGTTCACGGCAATGTGAATGACTGTGTGATTATAGGTCTCCATAAGCCTCGAGGCCATAACATCGGATAGCCGCGACATCGGATAATGATTTACTACTATGAAGTTGACCGAAAGCCGAGTTGCAGTGTTTGCATAGTGTTGCACAGGTGATAGATGATGGGTGATGCAGATGATGATCTTGAGCTGTGCTACCATTGCCAGACTTAATTAAAAGCCTCTATCATGATCTCGCCATTGGAACGGTCTCAATTACGCGAATAAGTAGTCGAAACTTCTTGTGGAAGCTATACGCCAACCTGCAATTCGAATTCATTTTTGGTTCATATCCAAAACTCTTCAATTCGAATTGAATTCATACTCTATTTCGATTTCTCATTCGGTTCCGTTTCAACCACGACGACAACGACGACGGCCTCGGCGGCTACGACCATGTCCGTCAATCACGCTCCACAGTCTCTACCTTCATTTGCACAAGCATTTAGCAGCTCTTCTCTTAGTTCAATCCCGAATTCTAATAACGCGTTACCACCAATTCAACCAAGAACTCATCATACAATTTCGCCATCAAGACAACCTAGCGTGGAACAATTAAGAAACTCTAGGAAACGTTCTAGGGAAGACGTAGCAATCCGTCGTGAAAGTACAGATGACTCTGGGTATGTTCAATCCCTATTTTCATACCCCTTCTCAATCAAAATTATAGCCGCCAGTCACCTAGAATCGTTAGAATCAAGGAGGAAGATGACCCTGATGATAGTCTCATCGATTCTCCTTCCCCTCCTGAAATCACTTCTCCTATTGTCATTCCACCGTCACAAAAGAAACGACGAGTGACTGTGAGTGGTACCACACTCCCTCCCTCAACCGCCCCCTCGTCCTCTGAAATATCGCTTTCAACCCCAATAACTCCTGTGGTCATAACAATACCAACTGGAGAAGATGTTCAGTTGAGGTCTACCCTAAAACAGCAGCTCATCGAACAGCGCAGACCAAGTTTCGCTGCTCCCCCCGGTCCGAGCCCCATGCTTTCAGCTGCTATTAATAATGGTACTTCATCCTCTTCTGCCACTTATTCCCCTCCAGAAGGTTCCTTGGCAGCATCAAAGCTGAGTCTCCCAAGGTTGGGTAGACGTAGTCCCAATACAGTTGCCCGTCTAGGTGGAAACACTCTCGCATCTGGCAGCCGTGCGACTGTTCAACCACAGCCACTCACCCCTCCTCCTATGATCGTCCCAAGTCAGCAACCGCTCTCTCTCACCGCCAACCAACCCGAGGTGCCACTGAAAAGCCCTCCATCAAACTCTCTACCGCCTCCCCCTATCAGTTTCGCACGTCGTCGAGCAGCTCAGTCTGGTGGCCGCAAAAGAAAGCCTGCCGATATTGTCATCAGCCCTCGTGGCACTCACTCTTCTGACTCGCTTGCGCCTGTCATACAAAGCGCCCCTCCGGTCCCGGAACTCGGTCGGTTCCCCATGGCTATACCACGACTTCCGACTGCTCTAAGCGGAAACCAGACCACGCGAAGAGTAGCCACTAATGTTCCTCCAACACCAACCCGATTTGGCTTGCAGCACACGATAGGTCCCTCGGTGAGCGCGCCTAAGACAGCAACTACAAGATCTCCTCCTGCTATACCAATTGCCAGTTCATTAGTCCCGCCCACACCCCGCGCCCTCCAACACCCCGGTTATTCAGGAGACAAATCTGCATTCCTAGCGCCTTTTGAAGTCTTTTACGACGCGCTTAACGACTCAAAACAGATGAAAAACTGGCTGTCTGAGCAGCTTCAAAAATCAAATACGCTCCTCCAATCTCTGCAGAAGGTGGATGCGGTCGTCGAGGATTTGGTGGAGAAACGGACGCGGTCGATGCAGGAGGAGATGCAGAGTATGCGTCAGCGCATGGATTCGTTGGAGGAGGCCCTTCGTGCTGTGCGTGCGGATTCGGCGCGAAACCAGAGTTCGAGCGGTAGCGGCGTTGGGTACCCCCAGTCAAAGTTCCAACAAAATGGAATGTCGAGTTCGGGTTCGGAACCGTCTTCATCGTACAGATTCCCAACCACTAGCAGTGAGCAACGCAGGCGGGTATCGCCGCCTAGCTGGGGCACCGATAAAGACCGGGACCGCGCCACGTCCCCTTCTCCTGATACAGACCGTGACCGCCGAATGTCGGCCTCCGTCGCACGGTTAGAAACTCCGCGTCTCGACCAGGGCCAGCCGCAATCTCAATCACAAACGCCATATTCGCCATTTGCTGCTTCATCTAGTCGCGGTGGACCTGTTGTGCCTGCGTCTAACGCAAAAGGCACACCGCCGCTACGATCTCAGGTCGTACCTGGGCCTGAGCGTTCAAACACGCTTCGCCAAACACAAGCAGATGTGGCACGACCACCGGGTAGGATGTATTACCCGGGCTCGGGGGCGTTCAATGGTGGCTGTGGGAGCGGGAGCGGCGAGACAGCGAGAGGCGAGAGCCATAAAAACCCGGAGGAGCGCTAATTTTTATTCGCATTCCATTGATTTCATGCCATGTCAACGTGGCTTTTCTCGATGTCACGATGCCGATTGCCGCTTTCCTCGACGTGCTATGCGTGCCACCGCTTTCCTTGATGCTATCAGGTCACATTCTTTGCTCTCTGCTCTATGCTCTGCATGACCGCGTTTCAACTGTGCGACAGTCTTGGACAATGTTATGTCACGGTTATCTCATCTCATCTTCTGATTTATCGCATGCATGCGTTCCCGTCTAGTTGCAGCACAGTCGCTTTCGAGTTCTGTTCTCTTTTCGCATGTTTCGTCCAGTCCTTTTTCGTACTCTGTTTGTTGATGGGCCGATGCGAGTCTACATCACGATGGATATCATATTTCTAGTATCATATCATATACGTACTCCTCTCCCTCCTGTTATCTTTCTCTTTATCATGGCCATTCTTTTTCGTTCTCACTTCTCATTAGGTGCTCCGTTATATATATGTACTTATAGCTATAGCTCTTTTTTCGCAGTAGAAGCCCAAATTTACATGTTTTTAAGTCCTTCTGTTCCGGGCTACTACCAGTTCTTATCATTCCAGGCCAAGTCTCAAGTTTTCAACTCAGAACTTGTTCCGAATAGCACTATGCTTCGAGCGAGCGGTGCTCGGCTCTATTAACATTAGAACAACTTGGGCGAAACTTATTGTTCTAGCTTCTTCTAATATCACTCGGATCGGCAAGATACGCCTGAAGAAGCTTATGACCGTGTCCAGAGTTCTTGAGAGAAGTCCGCGAATTAGAGCGGTGACCGTTCGAGTTGAATTGCTGACCGATGCGGTTGAACTATAAAATCCCGGACCGCCTTTGCTGCGTGGGGATATGTCACCCGTCGGTCATACAGATCAGGTCATCATGGCAAAACCAGAGCTGAGAGTACTAGTGCGGTCATCCTCCAGAGAGCGAGTACCCTAGAGCGCCATGCAAGTCGCCTTTAACCGCCTTAGCTCTGTAGCAAGATCATTAACATTCACTCGTAATATGTCTACTGCGCCCGCACCTGCACATGCGTCTAAGCCCAAGCCTTTTGTTTTGTATACCGCTGGAACTCCCAACGGACGCAAAGTTAGTGTTTTTCTGGAGGAGCTTAGAGCGGTTTATGGGGAGAAGGTTGGTTATGAGTGAGTACCTCTTTCCTCTCCTCTCCTCCTGGGACCCGAACGAATGATATCCTGGATTCCTACTATGACAGCGTCGAGAAAATAGACATCGGACGCAACGTCCAAAAAGAGCCCTGGTTCATCAAGTTAAACCCCAACGGCCGAATCCCAGTGCTCGTTGACCGCGCACGGGAAGACTTTGTCGTGTTCGAGACAGCTGCTATTTTGCTTTATCTCGAACAGCATTATGATCCAGAGAGGAAGCTTGGGTTTGACCCTGTGTCGCAGCCTAATGATTATAGCGAGATGCTTCAGTGGATGTTGTGGGCGGTGAGTCCATCCTTAGCGTTTGGTGGGATGTAGTATTGATGACACGGTTGTTGTAGCATGGAGGCGTTGGTCCTATGCAAGGGCAAGGTCTGTAAATTCGAACTTGGTTGAAGTTTTGAGTTGACGCAGCGCAGCGAATCACTTTAATAGGTTTGCACCTGTGGATATTCCCTATGCGAAGAAGCGTGAGTTGTTTCTTTGTTTGATGTCTTATATACGCGCCTGACGATGACGACTCCAGGTTATATCTTGGAAACGAAGCGCCTCTATGGCGTGATGGAGATCCGCCTCACAGATCGTGATTACCTCGCTGGGCCCGGCCGAGGTACGTATAGCGCTGCAGACATCAACGTTTTCCCATGGTAAGTTTCAGCTTTGTTTCTTTTGATCTACTAGGCCATTTTGCTGAGGTTCTGGCTCTGGTTCTCTTGTATTCAGGATCAAGGCTCATCAATTTACGGGTATCGAATCTCTCGACGAGTGGCCGAGTCTCCAGGTGGGCTTTCAAAAGCGTTTTGTTTCGTGTGTGTTGTTCTAAAGCTTTGATCGGTTTAGATGTGGTTCGGTCGTATTGAAGCGCGTAAAGCTGTTCAGGATGGCCTTGCTATTCCGTAGTGGACTCTTAGCACTGGGTCTGGGTTCTAGCGTGGGTATTTAGTAAACCATCTCTTTCACACTCAGTTGTTGCATGATGGAACTCATTGGTTTTGACGTATCAGCAGGTGAAGTCGAGCGTCCGGATTTAGTCTTCTGTTCGTCTTGTTTGAAACGCCCGATACTACCGAAACGGTATGGCAACGAGAGCATGTGAAAGGGCACGAGGGGCCGCGCTGTGCAAAGCTTGAATACTTGAACAAGTTCAATTGGCGGCGGCGTAACATCACTACAACTGCATGCCTCCCTACACAGGTCATCGGATTGTCTTTCTTGAATCTCACAAATCCCTCAACCACGGGATGTTTTGGATCAGACTACGGCAGGAACAGTGTGAGCCTAAGCGACCTCTGGAGGCTGATTAATTGATCGAACTCCACAGTGTGATTAACTTGAGGCAGGAAGCAGAATATCCACGGGCCAATTGCACCGTTTCTCTCCATTTGAACATGCGGAGTAGCAAATTTCCCTGACATGATTACATCCAGTCCTCGTGATGATTCTCGTAAAACATAGTCAGCGCGTTCCAGAATGGAAATCACCCGCCGCTTGGCTTGCAAATTTCAATATCTCGCTTGCTCAAGTAGCGGTAGCCCTCGGTAGTCTTAGTGTAACGTATGGAATCGCTTCCCAATTGTCTGCATGCTGTTTGTTTCTATTACTAATACTTTTGTCAAACACGAGTGCTGAAGATGTTTCCATACTTATCGAGAGCCGTTGATCGCGACCAGGAACCTATGTTGCTCTCTAACAGCGTTGTATTAGGAACTCGGATGGCTCGTGCCGGGTTTCTCTCGTTGGCTCGCGCCAATCTTTCAGCCTGAGGTAAGTATGTCGCTTGACAATTTGACACGACATTGCATATATCACATCGATAGCTAACTCCATCGATAATGTGCAGGCTATAAATACAGATGCGGCTTGTATCATCAAATCAAGGGAGTGCGCTGGACTTCTACCTCTGTACTCAAGGATCTCACTAGCTCATCTCTGACCCACCGGGATGGATGCCTCCAATTCTCATGAAATCATAGCAAGCGAGATAACGCCTCTGATACCTGCAAAGGGCTTGAAGAAACCTAAAACACCCCTTCCAAAACTTCAGATAGGCATTCTTATAACGCTGCAACTTGCAGAGCCCATTGCTTCAACATCCATATTCCCATACATCAATCAGGTATGGCTTCGCAATCAACACTTCTCTTCGATGTACACCTTTGATGCTGTTTTTCCTTCTTAGCTGATCAGAGAACTTGGAATCACTGGGGGTGACGATGCGGCTGTAGGATATTATGCCGGAATGATTGTAGGTGCCAGGATTATGACTTGCAAATTGCTTGCGGTTCCCTCATTGTATGTGATTGGCAGGAATCTCTGTTCTTCGTCGGACAAGCGCTGACAGTGCTGAGGTGGGCTCGGCTGTCTGACCGCATTGGGCGCAAGCCGGTGTTAGTAATCGGACTATCAGGAATTTGCATTTCGATGCTATGTTTTGGTCTCTCGACGACCTTCTGGGGCCTTGTCATTAGGTATGTCTTCAGCCGAGGGAAATATGCATCGCTGACATGATCTCTCTAGTCGTTGCATGTGCGGTTTTCTGAATGGCAATGCTGTAGTAATGAAAACCATGATGGGAGAATTGACGGACTCCACGAATATGGCTCAGGGATTCGCCTTGATCCCGATTGTCTGGTGCGTCGGAGGCTTTCTTGGGTAAGTGGGGCCGTTGCTGGTCGTTGACGATGGAGATGGCAAATGCTGAGATCGAGATGTCAGTCCTTTAATGGGCGGAACGCTTGCGCGACCGCAAGATCATTGGCCCGCAATATTTTCCGGTTCATTTTGGAGAAATTACCCATACTTTCTGCCTTGTGGAGTGGCAGCCTGTCTGCTTGCCCTGGCCGTTGTCATGATGTCATTGTTCTTAGAAGAAGTAAGCTCTACATACACACCATATCGCACACATCACTCACGATTAATAGACATTATCGACAAAGCGTCGACCGAAGTTCACTTCAACCGCGGTTGGCGTTTCAAGTAGTCCCGACGGAGAATCACTCGCTCAAAAATCAATGGCAAATATGTCCTTGCGATCTCTTCTCACGCCTTCCGTTGTTATTCCGATTGCAAACTACGCCATGCTCTCCTTCCTTGACGTTTCTTTCAGGGTTCTTTTGCCGCTGTTCTTTTCGACACCTACTTATCTTGGCGGTCTTGGATTTGATCCCGCTACTATTGGCTCGTGGATGGCGTTCTTTGGGATTACCGATGGCATCTTCCAGGCATTATTTTTCGCCAGAATCGTCGATTGGATTGGTCCGAAGCGTTTATTCTGTGTCTCGGTGTCGTGCTACGCACCACTCATTGCTATATTTCCGATAATGTCGTGGATTTTACGCGCAAGGGGCGAAGTTGATCATGCAATCACGCTTGCCTTGCTTTGCCATCTAGCTGTAGCAGTCACATGGGATATGGCATATGGTGCGTGTTGCAATGAAATCGTCTTGTCATTACAAGTAACTTACTTCGTTGCAGGAACTATTTTCCTGTTTATCACGGCCTCTGCTCCCACAAACAGTGTCCTTGGAGCTATCAATGGCCTTGGCCAAACCTCTGCGGCGGTGGCTCGTGCCGTTGGTCCCGCTTTGACGACTTCACTCTTTGCTGTATCGAAAGAACACAACCTTCTAGGAGGAAATGCAGTTTTTGTTATCTTAATTATGTTGGCCGGTGGATTGAGATGGCTGGCGTCCCAGTTGCCAGATGAAGTACAGGACAGGGATGAATAAAAGGTGACTCACAAAAGGAATCGATATCGAATTGCATTGTCGTAGGTTTCGTGTTCATCACTTTGCAGGTATTTATTGATGGGTCGTCAGATATCAAGGTAGGCATCTGAGCATGTTTGGATCTTGTTGTTTTAAGCATTTGATTCAGACCTGGTTGGATGATTGAGGTTCACTGAGGTAGGCTATTCAGGATGGTGCAGTGGAGGAACATCGCGTTCTAGTATAGTTGTTTGACATCCGGCTTTCACATCACGGTATTGAACTTGAGTTGTTTTGGTTTTGACGTGGATCGAGACATGTGGTATTCTCATAAATCAAAAGTACCGTTGCCCTAAGACTAGTCGGAGTTTGAGGAACCTGATACTAAGTTTCAACTTGGTTTCAACTACCCTATCATGGCAACTCAGAGCAACCTGCCCCAGCGCTGACATGCGATTTCCAGTTTAACAGTGTGAGCATGCGCGATCGATTATTTGGTCTAAGTAAGTGACCGAATTCAGAGACTGTTGTGATTGATAGCTATATATAGCTGACTATTACATTTCAATAGTCTATTCACCGGTTCACTGATATCATTAGCAGACTCCCTACAGCATAGCAGAATCACTCCAGACTCATAGAGTTTCTCCTCATACGATGGATCATATGGACTAGCAATTTGAAACAACCAACTTTCTGCGACTTACAGTGCGCGAATCCCAATCACGCACTCGTGCTCAGTTCTCCCAAGAGGTGGTTTCAAACTTGGAAGTAACTTCCTAATCGTTTATGCCGTCGTAGGCTATTTCTACTAAGCGCTCTTTGGCAGGAGCCCTAGTACCGACTTGCTTGTCCAATCGTTGATCGTTATCACTCAATTGTGACTGGATGCTACTTGTGTAGTCTTGCCACTACTCTAGGTCTAGTGGGAACGTGGATAACGCGCTCGGGTACTGCGCGGGTCGCCGTTTTCGACCTATTCCCGACACTTCAGGTATGTTGCTTGATACTTCAACAGCCGACCATCAATCATATGACATTGCGCAGGTTATAAATACACATTGCTCATTCACATCGGGGTGGTTGGTTAATTCTGCCTCTGGACTTGCTAGGCTCTTGTTGTATTTTCAACCCTCACTCGCCAGGATGGACACCTCCGATTCCCCTCGTACGGTAGCAAGCGAGAACACGCCTCTGTTTCCTGCAGAGGCCTCGCAAAAGCCTAAAACACCACTTCCAAAACGCCAGATAAGCATACTTATGATGCTGCAACTTGCGGAACCCATCGCTTCGACGTCTATATTCCCCTACATCAATCAGGTATGACTTCACAACGTCGGTATTTGTCCTTGATGCACATTTTTATACTGTTTCGCTATTTCAGCTTATCAGCGAACTTGGAATTACTGGGGGTGACGATGCGGCTGTAGGATATTATGCTGGAATCATTGTAGGTGGCGACATGACGACTTGCGAGAATGGTTTCCTCATAGTCTACTTTGGATATACTCAACAGGAATCTCTGTTTTTCGTTGCGCAGGCATTGACAGTGCTGAGGTGGAGTAGACTATCTGACCGCATTGGGCGCAAGCCCGTGTTGGTAATTGGACTCTCAGGTGCTTGCATTTCGATATTGTGTTTCGGTCTCTCAACGACCTTCTGGAGTCTTGTCATTAGGTGTGTCTTCAGCTGAAGGAGATGAATGCTGACATGCTGGGTTTCCCTAGCCGTTGCACGTGCGGTTTTCTTAATGGCAATGTGGGAGTTATGAAGACTATGATGGGTGAATTGACGGACTCCACAAATATGGCTCAGGCATTTGCCTTGTTCCCGATTGTCTGGAGCCTTGGAGGCTTTGTCGGGTAAGTGGGGTTGTTGATTACGGAGATGGCAAATGATGAAATTGGCATGTCAGTCCTTTAATAGGCGGAGCACTCGCGCGGCCGCAAGATCATTGGCCTGCACTATTCGCCAATCCATTTTGGGGAAAATACCCATACTTTCTGCCGTGCGCAGTGGCAGCCTGTTTGTTTATCCTAGCCTTTTTCATGATGTTAATCTTTTTAGAAGAAGTAGGTCCTACATACCTGCATTATTGCACATGTTACTCACAATTGGGCAGACATTATCAACAAAGTGTCGACCAAAGTTGACATCAGCCACGCTCGGCGTTTCAGGTGGTGAATCACTGCATCAACAATCCATGGCATATGCCCCCTTGCGATCTCTCCTCACACCTACTGTTGTTGTTCCAATTGCAAACTACGCCATGCTCGCTTTTCTTGACGTTTCTTTCAGGGCTCTCTTACCATTGTTCCTTTCGACACCTACATATCTTGGCGGCCTTGAATTTACTCCTTCGTCTATTGGCTCGTGGCTGGCGTTTTTTGGAGTCATGGATGGGGTCTTTCAGGCGTTGTTCTTCGCCAAAATTGTCGATCGATTTGGTCCAAAGCGTCTATTCTGTATGTCAGTGTCATGCTTCGCACCAGTCATGGTCATGTTTCCGATAATGTCATGGCTTGTAAACGCAAGGGGGGGAGTTGATCATGCAGTCACATTCACCTTGCTTTGCCAACTAGTTCTGATGGTTGCATGGGATATGGCCTTTGGTATGTGTTGCAATAAAATCATCTTGTCATTGTCAGTTGTAACCCACTTCATTACAGGGACTGTCTTCATGTTTATCACAGCCTCTGCCCCTACCAATACTGTACTTGGCGCTATTAATGGTCTTGGCCAAACCTCTGCGTCAATGGCTCGTGCACTCGGGCCCGCATTGGCGACTTCGCTCTTTGCTGTATCGAAGGAACGCAATATTCTTGCGGGAAATGCAGCATATGTTGTTCTAATTATGCTGGCTGGCGTGTTGAGATGGTTGGGGTCGCAGTTACCGGATGAAGTACAAGATAGGAATGAGTGAAAGGTTGGTACCTTTTTTGTGATCTCTCACTTCACCATGTATGAGTACCCAGGAGCTTCAATGGAAATGTCAATTTTTACATGGGACATTATGTCTGACAGAGTGAATGCCACCACTCAATCTAGTTAACTGTCCCACTGAGTGTGTTGAATAGGATTCACCCAGCCAATTGTGTGGCAGCTTGTAATTATGCAATTTGACTCTACCTTTCCTGCATTTTGATGGTTTGTGTTTCTGTTTTGCATTTCTGTTTTATGGTGAGTGCTTGATAAGTCAGAGGAGCAAGAATCAAGTGCTTTTGCAGTTAAAGATAGGGGCCACCTCTCTGGCATGTTCCAATGTAGATTCAAAACATTACCCATATTTCAACATCAGCCACTTACCCAAGTAGTGGTGGATTTATAATGGTATGGCATTGCAATGCAAGGAATGGCCTCCCAATCATCCATGCATGGGCCATTTAAAGTGGGTGCCCATGCCCACCCTCAGATACAACACCTTAAAGCACTGTATATCAGACTCTGATATGAAATTTAACCAGGAAAACATCAACTAAATTGCATGTTCAACTTATCCAATCACTGGAAAATGCACTGGTGCTGAATGTTTCAGAGTAACTTCCACTGAAACTACATGCAGTTAATTTCATTGGAGTGCTGATTCTGGATTCCAGCCAATCATCCTCAATTCAGTACTACCCTTTCAGTAGAAAATTTACTAAATTAGATTCAGCTCTGTATGAGGTGGAAATCTGAGACCCCTGTGCCTTCCTAATATGGTAATTTGTTTGTGTTCAGTGTTGGTGCATATGCATGTGACCAATGTGACAACCAACTGGCAGTGGAGTTGAATGGTTGGAATATGAACCTTCATATATAGTTTCTCTCGTATCACCTCTTCCCCTCAGTCTGTTCTACCACAACTGAGGGTAAGTTCCTTTATATGCTTGAGCCATACCTAGACGCTAACAGACATTTATATTAGTCTAACATTGTGTCTAGGTACATCATAATTCAGTCTGTTCTACCATGACTGAGGTCTAATGTTGTGTCTAGCCTTAATAGGTTATGAGCCCTGCTCACTCATAAATGAGGAGTGGAATTACCTTCTAGGCACCAACAGGACACTTGAGAACCACCCTGCTGGGTTATCGAACCCTTGGGCCTACCTTATCAAGGACAATGATGACTTCTGTCAACATCATCAAGAACATATGCTGACTTATACAGATGTCATAGAAGTGTCTATCTACTTCTCTTTTGGGCAAGAAGCATTGAACACAACAACTGTCTGCATGTATATATACCTGTGAGTTATGAATTATTCCACCCCCATCTCTTGTCCTCATGCCACCCACTGTTCATACCCACTCTAAAAGCTCTGGCTCCAAAGGGGCAACACTCAGCCCACTGATAGCTAACCCAACTCCCTCCATTGTGACTATGTTCTCTCTGCAGGCCACAGTTATGGCCATATTGCTCAGCCAAACAGACTTAGACAAGATTGAAGTCTTAGACCACAGTACAAATAACTGGAGCACCTGGTCTGACTGTATGTGTAACTACCTACTACTGAAACATGGAGGGGGGTATATACTAGGGTTGGTCACCCACCCCAATCCATCCTTAGACCCTGTCAGCACCAGCCACTGGGACCCTAACAATTTGTGCATCGTTGCAGCCCTACACACTCATTCTAGTTTGGAGGAGAACAATTTCCTTTGTAACTACACTAACACTTATCTTACATGGAACACACTCAAATCTTGCCACAAGAAAGTTGGTCCCATTGCTCAGATCTTACTCATACAGCAGGCTCTGGTGGTCAAATATTGTCATTCAGAACATCTCGCCACCACAAGCATGCAGTTAAATGATCTCATTCGGTGCATCTATGCCACAAGGAGGACTTTCTCATGATCATGATGTTGAATGCAATGTCTGAGGACCTCCTCCATGTGCATAACCACATCATGGATGCACTTGCTACTAGCACCTCCACCAACACCTATGGCCCATCAAACATTCATTCACACCTTGATGTTGAGCAACAGCTCATTGATACTGAAAAGTCAAAGGGGAATGATGTAGTGATGGCTGCCACTGGTAAGGGGGGTAATACTCACAGTCATGAGCATGTGTCATGTGGCACCTGTGGCAACTCCAGCCACCCCATGAAGAACTGCTTCAGAAAGGGGGGAGCTATGGAGGGGAAACATGACAAGGTACTGGTGTGTAAATGCACAGCAAATGAAGCCAAAGGGTCCTCTGGAGGTAAAACTACCAATGCCAAGCCCACAACTACAGGCAAGCCAGGTGGACTTTGCTATGACACCTCTGGCTGCACATACCTCCTTGACAGTGAGACTCACCAAGCCATATACATTACCAGTACTCCAGAAGCTACTGGGCCTCCTGCCCCCTCTGGCTCAACTGAGTTCGCTGGTTTAGCCAGTGACACCATCACCCCTGCATTCATTTGTGAACTATCCACTGCAGAGGAGGATGAGTACACCACTCTTATCGCTGCTGTTGACTCCCTTGATACTAGCCTCAACTGGTGCACTTGCACCTGTACTGTTAATTTTGCCAGAATCACTTACAAGGCTCCAAACCAGTGTAAATGCACTGTAGTGGACCCCTCCATTGTACCATTCTTCCTTGACAGCAGTGCTTCAGTTCATATTAGTAATGATGAGGCTGATTTCTTCAGCCTATGACCCATCCCCCCTGCTCTGTTAATGGCATCAGTGGATCCTCAATTCAGGCTGTGGGTATTGGCATCATGCATCTGGTCATTGCTAGGGGGATCCATATCATGCTTGACAATGTCCTCTTTATCCCTGCAGCCACTGTATGTCTCATATCAGTCTCAGCCCTTTGCACAGCTCATCGCTGCATTGTGTCCTTCAATGCTGCCACCTGCTGGGTCCAAGCACAAAGTGGAACCCATATGCTCTCTGGTACCCTGATGTTATACCACCTGTATGCACTCACTGGTGGGCAGTTATCTGTGGAACACATGGACATTACTCATCAGCTACCTACCCTCCTGTCTTGGCACCGTCATCTAGGACACACCAATTACTGCACAGTCTACAACCTTGTGCACTCTGGTAATGCTACTGGTATGCCCATTAACCTCTCAGTTATACCACCCAAGTGTGACACATGTATCCTCAGTAAACAGACAAGGGCTAGCATCCTGAAGGTTTGCATTGGTAGCGGGGCAAGTAGGAAGCTGGGAATCATTCATGTTGACCTCATGGAACACCTGGATACTGTATCAGCTTCTGGCCATAAATATGTCATGGACCTCATTGACGACTTCTCTTCATATGTGTGGGTGATTCCTCTTGCTACTAAGTCTGATACTTTCCCTGCCTTGCAAGCCTGGGAACATGCACATGAAGTTGAGACAGGAATGAAAGTTGGTATCTACTGCTCTGACAATGGCAAGTTGAAATCTGCAAACATGCAAGAGTGGCTCCTGTCACATGGTACTTAACATCAATTCACTGTGCCACATACCTCAGCACAAAATGGCCATGTTGAATGATTACATTGCACCCTAATGGGAAAGGCTCATGCCATGAGAGCGACTTGCGATGTGCCCATGAATTGTTGGGATGAGTTTGTCCTTACCACATGCTACCTCACTAACTGCACTCCTGTCACCTCCCAGAATGGTCATACACTGTTTGAACATTGGAATGGCAGCAAACCTGATCTATCAAACCTATGTGAAATCGGCTGCCACGCTTTTGTTCTAATTCAGAACCAACACAACCCTAAAGTCTACAACCATTCTATCAAATGTGTCCTCATCAGGTACTCCCTTGATTCTAAAGCTTATTGCTGTTACCATCATCAAACTCACAAAGTACTCATCTCTTACCACATATCTTTCATAGAGTTCCACCAGAACAGTACAAGCCCCCCTCCTGATCCAATGGTTCCAGCACCCCCTTCTTGCCCAGTTTCCATTGAGGAGGTACTGGATATTGATGCCCCCCAAGCACTGACATCAACACCCACAGTAGCAGACCAACCACACCGATCTACACACACTCATCAACCTTCTGAGTGCTGCTGCGCCATGGATGGTAAGCCACATATATCTCCTACCCAATGTGCTGTACTTGAGTCTCTCACTGCAGTAGATCAGGCACACACCTTACCTGTTACCCCTCCCCTTGATGGTGATGCCCTCACCACCTCCATATCTGAGGAGGAGCTCTGCAACCTCAACAACTTGTTCTCAGCAATACCCAACCACCTCGAGCATGAACTGGCAGATGACCCTACCACCTACTCTGAGGCAATGGCATCTGATCATGCGACAGAATGGACTAAGGTACTGAAAGAGGAGTTTGATTCCCTATGTGAACTTGAGGTATACAAGCTTGTTCCTCAATCAACAATCCCACCTGGACATAAGATCATGTGTGGGTGCCCGGTGTCCTGCATGATTTGGGAATCATGCATGGACATGACTACTAGGAAGCCCCCTAAAAGACAAAGTCTGTTAGCTTAGGCATCAGGCTAGTCAACCCATACCTTGGTTTCAAACCTTGGTCAAATAGTTCAGTTTCCCCTCTGTGATTCATGAATTTATTATATCTTGAAGAAAAGTCATTTGTGAGATGAGAATCACATAATGACCTAGTTGATATTGTGAAGCAAGAAGGTTAAGGTATTGCCTTGCCTTTGGCTTATTCACTTTGGCTAGAGAAAACCATAGAGAAAAGTTCAAAGCCTACAAAAACCTATCTAAAAAGCCTGTGTTTTGTGTCTTGTTATTGTATTATTATTTCTGAGTTGTTTTCTCTAGTATTTCCTTGATTTATTTTTCTATTGGGATGCTCTGACCCATCAGATACTTCACAAAATTGTACCTACAGGGTATGATGTCATAATGATGTCATATGGCTCTACAGATACTCCTGCAAGTATTCTGTTGAAAGTTATGATGTCATGATGATGTCATTTGTTCTGGAA